TATAACTTCCGATTTCATTTGAAACTATTTTTCCAGGTAGAATCATCTCTGTTACCGGTGTTATTGTTTCGGTTGATAAAATATCTTCTGTAAATTTCATGTCATCAGTTGCAAACATATCAACTGAAGGCAAAATCGAATTCATTTTTATATCCATGGATTCCTGTGAAGAATCCGGACCTGACGTTACAGAACTTGTTCTAGACTGACTTTGTTCGGAAAACTTCTCCGGTTCATTTTCCTCCACATTATATTCTTCATAATTCGAATTTATTTGATCTTCCTTTCTAACCAAATTCTTATCAATCTCAGAGCTTTGTAATGTTTGATTACCAAATGCTTCTTCAGCCATGCGTGAAATATGTGCTATATGCTCCAGTTCGTCTACGGTTGATTCAAATTCAGGTTCTTCACTCATAATAACTTTCTGAACATCAATTTCCTTCTCAGCTATGTCTGCAACGTTTGTAACATATTTTGATGTTGCTTCATCTAACACAAGACACTCGGCCTCTTTTATAATTTGTTCTATGTATTTCATCACTTCAGTGTTTCCCATCTCTTCATTAATGCCTAACTGTTCCATTGCTGCTGAAGTGGATTTTTCTTCATAAAAACTCTCGTTGTGATAACTTTCTGAATCGAGCTCTTGCTCAGTATTCCATTCTGCTTCTGAAAATTCTGAAACGGAACCTCTGGATTCTGATCTACTTTGTTTTTTAGTTTCGTAGAAGCTAGTAAGTGAAGGATTCAGGTAAATATCTCGAGTCGGATCCACCTCATAGAGTATCAGTGGTGGACTCATCTTACCATGAACTTGTTGCTTGATATAGAGACGTAGATCCTGTTTTTCGCTGTCTAATAAAGTGTACTCATTTACAAATTCATCAGATGATGCGCTGCAGCTACTGTCATCGAGATGGCTGTAGTCATCCGTAGAAGAGAAAGAGTTTCGTCTTCCTTCCTGAATGCTTTCCTGAACCAATGAAGTTAAGTTGGCCCCCGGAAACTGTTCCTGTAGCATGGAGTCTTGTTTTTTCAGCATAACATCAGCAAGAACTAAGGCTAAAATATGAATCCAAAGCTCCTCTGCGAAGTTCTGCAATACAGACGTTAGTTCTTGTGAAAGCTTTTCTTTCTCTTCCTCCAGAAGCACATAACAAAATTCTTCCGCATAGTCATCATCAAATTCTGCAAACAGAGTTTGATCGAAAATTTTATTATAAATTTTACAGCTTTATATCTAAATTTTGTGTGATAATTTTCAAAATGTAAAAATAGAGCATATTTACAGAAAACCATTTTTGCATTTTACACTTAGAACAAATTCAACTATGTAGAAAATTACCTGAATGGCAATACAACGTTGACTCTTGATCAATGAGATGTGCCAAAGACTGAATACATTCACAAGAAACTGATTTTTTAAAGGTTGTAGAGGAAGCACGCAGTAAGGCAATAGGCACGTTGTGATCACTTCCAGACCAAGTCGCAGGTAGTTGTTCTTGGCCGCGAAGTAATTCCACCGCATTCAAGTAGACACATTTGAAGATGTTGATTGTCAGTTCGGAGCAGTGTCTATCTATTTCAGCATCGGTTCCATATTTCAATTTTAATTCGTTATATACAGCAGTAAATATGACAGTACACAGCCAATGACAGTACTGGTCCAGAACAGTCTTACAGACAGAATCAGCTATAGCTAGTGTGCAAATTTCGTGCGACATCTTAGATACATATTTCGCAAAGCCTGTATTCCTTTCTATATTAAGAGGAGTTGAAAAGCGAACCACTGCAAAAAAAAATCACAGTAAATTCATTTAAATGACTACTCGCTTCTTCATCTGATTAGTACTGTGTTATAAAATTGTACCGATTCTACTCAATAATGTAGTGCAAAGCAAAATCGGTCAGATCAGTATTTCTATTTCTATGTTTTTTACGTTTTAGAGATTGTGATGATGCGGAGAACCTAAGATAAAAGCAATGCACAGAGTCCATGCCATTAGTTGATTGGTCATTCATAACTTCAGCGAATCATTTAGCGACGAATCTTATTCATTTTTAGAACTCACATTTCCGTGCAGAAGTTAGTATATCACCTCCATCATCATCAAGAGAGCTCATCCAGCGGTATAACTGCCTGCTAAGTCGTTTGATGCTTTGTGTGAAGTTTCCGGGTTCTCTAGATGAGTCTAAAAATACTTGAAAACAGTCTCCGATTATCAGTTTCTTCTAGAATTCAACCAGTGATACTTTTTGCTGCTTCGTTGAATTTTTGTCGCTACAGCAGTTATTATATAAAATAACTTTACATAAAAAAAGATAGTCTTTTCCAGTACTAACTTTTCGTATCTTTTAAGTCACCAATCGAGGATCCTGAACAACTGTAAGTAGAATTGAGTAACGAATCGCATGCCTCTGTGACTTCTATTGCTTCAAGAAAATGTTGAAAATTAGTTTGGATATCACCTTATTATATCTTTGTGCATTCATGCAAGGATTTTCGCAAATCATATAACAGAAGAAATAAAACCATACTTTCTGGCAGTGAGTCCATCTGCACAGAGTTTTCATTCCGAACGGTAAAAAATTCTTCATTTTCGTCAACTGTTCCTCGAAATCTTGCATCACTGAGTCTAGAAAGCTTTTTTGTATTCAACACAACTCGGGCTTCTTTGTGTGACTGTTCTGCTCGCCGAAAAACCTGCAGTGAGCACTTGAAGTTATTAGAAAACTGTATTAGATTAACGAAACTGATTTTTTTAGTTCATATCGACTCAAGGTAAACAAAAAGTTAATGCAATTATTTAGATTTTTACCTTCCATTACTTAAGTTACCATTTCGAACTTTTACGAGCACGTTTATTAGTTACAAGAGCATCATTAGCTCCAACAGTACCATGATAATTCAATGACAGTGAAATCAAAGTAAAACAAGGTGAGAGACTGATATTGAAAAAGAAAGCCATAGAAAGTCATACTTCTCTTATGTGATCTTGTTGTTCCTCATCTAATTCCTGTAGAATTGATGGATTTAGCAACGTAGCTCCCAATTCTTCCGTCGAATTGTTCCCTTCTTTGTCTTCTATTTTTCTTAACCTGGAATATTGTTTATACTTAATCATCTTTATATAAGACTGAAACAAATAAACTATGTTCTCCCTTTCAAAAAATTTCAAATTCATCGCTTTATAATCTCATGGTTCTCGATGCAGCTTTATAATCTCATGGTTTTCGATGCAGCTTTATAATCTCATGGTTCTCGATGCAGCTTTATAATTTCATGTTCTCGATGCAGCTTTATAATCTCATGGTTCTCGATCTAGTATCGTTACACGCTACTCTTTTACAGTCTTTTTCTTTTTTCAAATAGCTTATTTAATTAATTGATTGAACGAATGTATTACAAAATGAACGGAAATTTATTATATTTACTTTTATTGAAATAAAAGTTTAATTAATTGAACGAATAAATCACGGAATTGAAATTCGTTAATTGATTAAAACAAGTAAATTACAGAATGAACTGAAATTTGTTATGGCACATGAAATTCTAATGCCAGTTAAAATTGTATAGAGACAAAAATGCATCATTTTCGGAAATTTATGCTTAAAAACTCTTTTTAGAATAAATTTATTCAAAAAGGATTTGAAAAAGATTCAATGTGAAATTTTATATGAAAAGGTCATTCATATCTGATAAACTCACCGAAAAAATGTTAACCAACTTGACATTTTGTTCCGGCTCGCTTGTAAGGCGATAACATTATATTGCTTTCTAAATTTTAACAAAATTTACTAATATTTAATAAAGAATTCAAATCGGTATAAATTTTACTGCTGAAATTTCATTTTAACGATCCTTAATATAATTTTTAATACTATAACACATAATATTCTAAGCCTCTGCCGTAAATTTTCACTACATCATTATTTTTCGATATAAATCTGTATACTGATACACATCTACAAAAATCGCCCCTTCCATCACTTTTTCGCTTTTCCCTTTCCCATATTAAAATAAATATTGTTTTCAAAAATTGTTTCCAATTAAAAAATTATCTATCAACAAATAAAATCTCGTATTTTAAGTCAGTTTTTGTTTCCAATAAGATTAATAAGATTATCGTTCAAAACGAATAGAAAAAAAAACAGTTGGTAAGACAAAGCAGAAATATTTTTCATATATACGAAGTGATGAAAGAATTTCGGCACGGTACGAATGAATAAAGATATTATCATTCATTCTACGGGAAATGTAAGTACAAGAAGTGATAAAAAATGTGTCACAATAGTGCTACTACTACGTGAAAAATTAAATAGTTGGGCTTGCAATGAATAAATTTTGGTTTTTTAACATGTTTTGTTTTTTGAAGTTATTAATACTGAATCAAGCAAAGAAAAGCTTATTAAAATTTAATGTTATTGTTTTTCAGATTTAATTTCATTCATTAGCAAAATACAACTTTCTTGGAAATAACAATTTTTGTTAATAAAATGAAATAATGTCAAACGGAGTTGCTTCAATTAGCTCTATGCTAGAAAGATTAATCAATAAAATTCTTGAATAAGCATATTTTAATACTTGCCATTTTGGTGCCGTGAAAAACCAGATTGGTTGGTTATTTTTCAAAGAGAAAATGACTGATTCGGAATTATTTGTTGAAAATATAGTCGTGAAACTCGATAGCTAATTTAGAAAGACATTGAAATAGGATAAGAATGAATTTATGATAATTGGATAAAATTCTGTGGGAAAATCATTCTTTTTTTTTAAAAAAAAAATTAAATATTCTATGAATTGCAATAAATTAAGTGAAATTACAATATCGAACATTTAAAAAAGATGTTTGGCAAATATTTCTCGTCATATTAAGCCATCTTTACTATACTTTTTAGTCAGCACTGATATGATTGAAGGATCTTATTTAGTCCGATGAATAAAGTAAAATATTGGAATAAAGTAAATATTTCTAGAAAGTATCGATATTGTATTATTCGTTAATTGGATAAATATAAAACAGCAATAACTTTTGACAGAACATGGAAAAAACAGATTTATTTAAATATTTTATAAATAAATTGTTAAAATAAAAAAAGCATGCACTAATGAATATGTGAGCCACTTATTAAACTACTGGAATGATGAAAAAAGTGGAAACATCCGTCATAACAACCTAAGTGAACTTGTTAAGAAGGTGCATATTGATGACAATAATGACAAATTATTGGGATGTGAAATTGATATTAGAATGATGACAGAAAATGTAGTAATGATGAATTAAGACTGTGATAGAGACGAGGGAAATAATGACGTTGATGAGAGAAACAAATATAATGGAAGTTATGTTAAGTTTGCGACGGAATTTCTACTTTCACATTATTGATTCTTTTGCAATGCAAAATCAATGCATACATTACTCAAGAAATTATCCTCTCAATTTTTTGTACCAGGAGATTTTCTGTAATCAAAGAGCATGAAAAGAGTGGAGAAAATCAGTACATTTTAAATGGGAAACTGAATGCATTAAGAGAGGTATGTTTCCAATGTATACCTACTTGGCAATATCATATTGTAAGAATTGCACTGCTTCCACAGTACTGCACTGTTCTTGTATTGAAAAAATGAATTTGGAAATTCAAATTTATCGAAACTGGAAAAAGAAGACAGTTAAAATTAATCAACCAATTTGCTGGAGTTCTAAATGAATCAAATGAATCATGGAAAGACAGATAGCAAAAGTAATAGACCTAAAGAGGAAGCACCAGACAAAATCTTTCAAAGATTCAGGCTAATGCTTGATTATTTCAGTAAAAGATCGATTAAGGTGAATGGAACGAAAGGATGGGTTGCTGAAAAATATAAAGGGTTGTTGTCTCAGTTTAAAAAAAAGGTTACTCAACAAAAATAGGATGGAAATGGGAAAAGATTGCTGTTGCTGAATTGGAAGTTTCCAGGATCGGCTGTCAAGAGTAGTGCGACTTCTAAAGCTGCTTTTGTTGGAGGTGCAGCAGCCTCTACATTCTTATATGTCTATGCATAAATTTTTGTTGCCCGTGCTTCGTTTTCACTCGATACATAAACAGCACTGCTGAAGCCAATTAGAAAAAGGCTCTTTAGCCAAAGCTCTCCCATCATCTGTGAAAGGATGGCAAATAACAATCAATAGAATCGCATAAATTTCTCGCATCTTGCTGCTTCGTCATTTTTTCTGGTTTCCATTTAAATATGTTGTTTCATTCCCACTTACTGATAACGCGATCATAAGTCCTTAAAATTGTGTTGAGCCTTGGTTTGAATGTCTTCATTTCTAATTTAGCAGAGTAAACTGTCTCTTCCCTTTCACTTTTCTGTAGGTAGTTTACACAGATTAATGTTTTTTCGCTTTTAGGAATTGTCAGTTTTCGTTCATTTCAGAAAGAATAATGAATGAAGATGATTCAAACTTTGCGAATGTCACCTTACAGCGGTTCTGGGATCTAATTTCTTAGTATCAATCAAATCGCAAAACAATACACTTCTTTATGTTGTTTTTTTTTTCAAGCTTGAATTTTGACGTAATGAAGGAGTGGAATTTTATCCTTATACATCCAATTTCTTTCACTTTTTAACTCATGCCATGTTCAGGATGCAACATAATGCGAATGATATGCTTGGAAGCGGACATGAGTTTGATCGTTCTAATTATTATGCAATCCTTGAATGTGATCGATGCTCAATAGTTAGTAAATTATATCCTTGGAGATCCCGAAATAAATTCTTTTTCTGTTTATTATGAAAAAAACACTTATAATTAGGGTGTTCTTTTTAATTTAGTCTTCAATTTAGTAAAAAATTCTTATATTTCATGTAATTCTCTGAATTTTCTGCATTCTTGAACTCGCTTTTAGAAGTGGCAAATTATAACATAGTATCGGCAGCGAGTTCCACAACTTCACCTTGACAAATAATTCAAACAAGTGTCCGAAATATTTAATAAGTTGCACAAAGCTAAGGTCAGTTCCATTTCCCATCTTAACAGCATTGATTTTAACTGAATTATTAAATTCGACATGGTTTTGACGAAATGTTGTTTCAAAGGTCATTTTCGAACAATGGCAGGTGCTCTAATGTCTTTAGTAACCACAAGTGACATTTTCCATCATATATTCCATTTGAAACTTATACTTCGAAATGCATTGTTGGATAACTGATTCATGAGTTGCGGTGTAACTTGGAGAGCGCCTTTCAAACTTTAATTTGAATTATAGTGAAATCGAATTAAAATGTTACTCACAGCTTCTATACTTGTATTCTATGCATATATTATTTGTAAATTTGTGGAATATAACACTGTAATATATTATATATAAATTATCTGGAACTCTTTGGAATATTCTGACAGATGATAGAGATGAGGCGAACGCACGACGCTTGGTTTAATTGCTCCGTCAGCATTCCTTGATCACTATGGCTCGAAAATTCTCACAACCTTTCCATGTGTATTTGCTATTGACGATCAGAAATAATTAAAATCATCCTTGAGATCAAATTTCAAAGCAGAAACACTTGCATCTTTAATACATTTATAGCTTGAATTATCAATTTAATGCAAAGTCATAGCTATATGAGACAACTTCAAACGATTTCATCGTAATAGGCTGTAACATCATTTGATAAAAAAGTTTGCAGGATATACAGTGGAATGCCGAGTTCACAATTCAACCATGCTGAAATTCGAAATGAGGGAACGAAAATGAGAAATTTATGTGTTAGCGGCAAATCGCGTCAAACATCATCTCTCATCATTCTTTATTAGTTAAAAAGTTTAGAGTTGATGAAATCTAATCTGAGTCAATTGAATTTTTTTCGAGTGAAATCCTCAGCTTCGTTTCACAAAGCGTTTTAATAGACTAAAACCGACCAGTCACAAACGAAGACATGGATTTTTCTTTTACTGATCATTTAATTCATAAAATTAATTCCTCACCTTTTCAGCTAGAGAAATATCACCCATATAATGAATAAGAAAAAAATGTCAACGTCAATTTCAAATGAAATACACAAGGACGAATTTAGAACTTTAATCCTTCATTATCTTTATCATCTTTTTTCAAGAGTATATTCCATAGAATTCATATCAAAATTACATAATTTCAACTCGGTTATGAAAAAAATTGTATTGTTTGGATAATAAAAACTGAGTTAATTCTTAAGAAAACAATGACTTCAGTTCACTAAGCTGATAAATTGATCAACGAAGAGTCAATACACACGGGATGATTATCGGATGTCTTGCAATTGAAAATATAAATGATATCTAGCTAAAAATAAAATATACTGAGTAAGAAGGAAGTCACAAAAACGAAAGCATCAAGCCTGCAGGAGGAGAATTTACGAACAAGAAGAACTTTAAAAATAATCCTGGAAAAAAGGAATCTAACTAGACCTCAGGGAAAAAAACAGACAGTGATCGTACCATTTTTGTGCCCTTTGGTGACGTAATTTTGGATAATTTGTTGCGTACTATTAATAGTTCTAAGCCTATTTATGAATTAAGTATTTTATAAACAGAAGTCTTCATCCATCATTTCTTCTGTAGAAGCTGTAAGAAAACAAGTTTAAGTAAATGATTAATGATTGAACCCCGTATCTATTGCCGTTGCTACTCTGCTAATTGGATAAGCAACCATGGCACCAGGTAGAAATCTGCTGGTACTACCTTCTTCGTGATCCACTAGGAAAACACATTGCACACTGACTTCGTTCGTTTTGTACGTTAAAATTCGGCTTCCGACAATGTTCGATAATTCGATCTGTTCATTGAAGGTTTTAAGGGACTTTTTGCAAGGTATATGCGGGACATCTTAGGGTGTGACTAAATATAGAGCCAACAGTAGTCTACAAGCAACACTAGGGTATGTCTGTTTTTTTTTTTTAATAAAATGGTGATAATGATATATATATTTTTATGCATTTAATTGGACTTCCTTAGACGGATTTAAAATATCAACAGGGTTAGTCGGAATTTCCAAGATAATGCTGAATCTACTTGTTGTATTTTTGGATGTATTATATCGTTAATCGGAGGAGAGAGAAAGATGGGTAAGCACCATTACACAGTGTTTTGCTTACCTCCTATTATCAAAACGCTAAATTCTTTCAAAGGTGTAATTCTTCATATAGACTTTGTTTTGAAAAACGTAATGATAATGGATAAGATTGTAGCACCGACTTTGTTTAACGTATTTCTTCATGTTGTATGTGGCAGCATGAATATATTAAACATAACAAGTGAACTTCCGGATTATTTCGGTGATATTTGACCCTTTGGAAGCATAGTTAAATCGTTGCACATTTGATCTTTATATTGAAGTACCATTTTGCTTAAATGCAGTTAGCAAAGGAACCATGAAAGCGTCAATTAATTTGCTTTTGTTCGGAAGACAACACTTCGTCACTCATAATCTGAAAAGTATGTTGAAATCTTAGAATCAAGGTAGAATCAGTCCAGAGAAAAAAAAAGGAATTTGTGTTTTTTGTGCTTCTTCGCAACACGATGCGAGGAGGAGAATGTGAGAGACATGTTTTTCTGTCAATAAGTTTTCCTACTCCCTGCAGAAAAGGCATTTTCGGTTGAAGTTTCGGGATGTTTGGAACGAATACTAAAATGTATTTGTAGCCATGCTGTTCGTGTAAAATACTATGCATTCAGGGAGAGATGTTTTTGAAATGCTTTGGAGTTTCCTTCGATGTTTGAGATACAGTGAAAGATCGTATCTTCAGAGAAAGCACCGAAGTGGTAAGTGTTTGAAATCTCGCACTTCGATCATCCATATTTACATGTTTTTTAAAAAGTTATCATTATCAACTTTAGAAAGTTATCAGTTTTGTGAGCTTGGGTAAGGCATCATCATAGTCCGAACAGTACAGAGAAAGATGGAGTAGTATGATATTTTAATTTACGGGTCGGTCTTCTCTATTTCGCTGTTTTTTCTTCTTACATTTTCTTTTATTTGTTTGAAAAAGTTTATGAACAGGAGATGCTTGTAGATAGTCCTTATTTGGAATCCTCATTTCTGCTTTAATACTCAGTGAAAATTTGATTTCATAATGATATAGTCCCGATAAAGTTCTGTCTAAAAAAATGTCAACGGTGGGACTTGCAATTTCCATAATTTGATGTTTTGCAATGAATTGCACCTATGAGTATTGATGCATTTTTCATATGCCTTCGGTATTCTGTATTACGAATAAATTTCTTTTCTTATCCCTGTTTCTATAATCGTTTTTTTTTTGTTCTTTGCTTCTTTTTTTGAAGCTGAATTTAACTAATACGGAAGATATAACTATGACCGAGATGACTAAGTAATTTTGTTTTAATTTCAAACGAAAAAGTTCAGATGATAGGCACTGTTATCTCTAATGGGCGCCATTGCCGAAGAAAGTTATGAAAGAGGAAAGTGGACAAAAATAGACTTTTTTTCTCCGTGTGTGACGACTGTATAGATAAGGAGAAATGAGTAAGCGAAATTTGACGTCGAGATGAATGGTAAAAAATTATGGGAAAAGCATGCAACTGCGAAATCACATAAACTTTAGCAAAACGTTAGAATTTTCATGATGGGAAAACTCATTTCATGAAAACGGTTAAGGCATCATTTTCGTTTCTCAGCGCACGTTGCGCGTTTCACTGTCATTTTACACCGTAGTATGGAGTTTCTGTTGAGTCCTGAATCCAAAGGTTACTGTTCACCTTTGACTGAAAATATTGTGCTTCCTTTCTTTTATTTTGTCGTAATGTGTCACTGAAGGATTACTTTTTTCTTTTAAAAATTTCAGCTGCTACTTCATTAGCGGTTCACTACTGTTTAAAAAAAGTTCGTGGATGACCATCACCTCATTCCCTATCTGTCACAGTATGTTTGTCTCTGTCTGTATCGTTCTCCCTAGTCAATGAATACAGTTTTGGTGCTACCAAAGTTTTGGCAATAAACTGAAAACGATTTTGTCACTTTTTCAATAATGATCGGGAGCAGGCTAAAGTTTAAACAAAGAGTTAAGGGAATAAGGAATATGGGAGTTCATCATGGTACTTAAAGAGGGAGAAAAAATGAGGAGTGATTAGCGAGGTCAGGTCACAAAACTACTTATTTTGGTGGAGCGAATGCGAAAGAGAGCGGTAATGCCAACAGTGTACTTATTTCGATTTCCTTCAATTCATTATTTATCAATATAAGAAAATGAAGAAATGAAAATTCGGAAATCAAAACTCGCGTTCCTTCTACGCCGGTACTGTTATGCACTTGTGACTTTATTTTGCAGTGAGACCACTGGGTAGATAATTGATAAGGTACTACTGAGGCCAAACACTATAGGGTAAGGAAGGGAAAGAAGACATGGTAAGGTTACACAGACCCCAAATAACCGGTATATTTGATAGAATTGGTGAGGGCTCTAGTTTCTCACTTCTTATCGTGGGAATTCCCACAACCTTCCATTTAACGACCCGTTTCCTTTCTCACGCAACTTCTCCCATTCCAAAATATATTTTGTTTTGGTTTCCACATCTGCCCATCCCCTCCATCCTCACCTCGCATGCCATCACTATACCGGCTGCTGCTGAGTCGCTTCTCCCGCCCACCCTTCTTCAGATGCAACCCCAACTGCAACCCTAACCCCAACCCTGCCCGACTGCAGTCTATCTCCCTTTCAGTACCCTATAACATCGTACAAAAATAAAAATTGTTCTTTGTTATTGTTCACTTTTGTCAGTGCTGCTGCCGTGCTGCAGTATTTTGTAGTTGGTGTTATGCTTGTGGGTTTCAGTAGCATCGAGACAGATAGTGCTGTTAAACAGGGGGTCAACCAGCACTTTTTTAAATTGATTAAGTCACTAATCTCCTTACCTTCATGTTTCTGAAGGGAAAGAAAAATCCGGTTGATGTGTAGCTCATTACAACCCAATAGTGACAGTGATTGGCTAGCATCAGTTCATGGTGGATAGTGACATGTACCATGTTGATCGATTGAGCTCGAGTGACCTTAGTAGTAATATTCTTATCAGGTCCAGGAATTCCAGCTTTCTGGTATAATTTACTTTAAAACGTATGCATTAGCACATAAATGTTTTCATAGAAAAGTTAGTCCGAAAAGCTCTAACATGTCGCCGTGAAATTGAAAACGAATAATAGAAGCGATATTTATCTCCCTTTAAGAAGAGTTCCATACATAAATTGTTTATTATCTCTCCACACATTTGTTTTATAATGTCGTGGTGTATTGTTTTAATTTGTTTAAAACAGTTTTATCCAGAATAAAAAATTTTATCCTATTCTTGTTTGTTCTATTACTTCATTTGAGTTTGTAGTTTGCTAATAATTTTCATCCATAAAGTGGTGCGTATATATATATATTGTTCGACGATTTCCAAATCACTTCCTAACTTCTCAGTCCCGCATTGTCAACATTGAGAAGTACATTTTCGAAATTCCAAAACTTCTCTGTAGAAGATTTACAGGTCACCATCGCGGTTTTTTGCGACGTGTGTTCACAAAGTGCGGATGAAGGACGTGAAAATTGAAGATTGTGAGGTTGGTTTTTCCACATTCTAATTTTTGAAAGAATTGCGGAATTCGTACAATGGTTTCGTTATGTTTCTTTATGTTCAAACATTTGCATACTGGATCGACTTATGCTTTGTGGTGAAGGTTTTTTGAATCCAAAGAATTTTTGACCCTTGCCTTTCTTCCATAATTTCATCCATTTATCTTTGTTCCCACGATCGACTTTGCACCTCTCACTACCGCTGGTACTGAATATGTTCCGCTGGTTGCTCTTGTTTTTTTTTTTTTTATTGTTTACCTCTGATTATTATGGGCTACATCTGGTCCATCAGCTTAGTTTACAAGAAATCTCTAATACACAAACGCCCAGTGTAGTTATGCTTCATTTTCTGCTCTGATTTGTTCCGTATTGTTCTCATGCGTATGCGTAATTTTCAGTATTTTTAGGCGGAAGCAGTATATCCTTTGATATCTGCTGAATCAAATTCACTCTTTGCTTTAATGTGGACTCAGAATCTTGCAGCTTTGGCTGCTGGAACAGGCACGAATGCTTCAACAAATTCATTTATACAGCCGGTAAATTTTGTGATTCTGCGTTGACGATTGTTACAACCTTCGTGTTTTTCTCCGATGCCAGCAAATTTAAGTTACTTATATAGAAAACATCAATGAAAATTCCCAAATATTGTAGTGTTGAGTGTCAGCGTTTGGTGCCAAAACTAGATAATGACGTTTGGTCCCTACGGCTTTTTACTTTTTCTTTGGAGGGGAGGGAGAATATTCGCGCCTTGTCTACCTTTTATATTCTATTTTTAAACTGGCTGAGTAAATGTATTTATGGTATGATCTACTTGACTTTTCGCATATTATTAGCAAGACGCATAGCTTGTGCTTTATTATTTTTCAGAATTTTAGCTGCCAGAGAGAAAAGTAATTTGTCGTATAATCGAAAGTAGGTCGGTAGTGCATTATGAATAATTTCGCGCCGCACCCTGTTGCAGATAATTAAGAAGGTCGTATAATTCAAGACTGTGGTGTTATGATTATGAAGCTAGGCTCATTGCTTCTTTGGTGTGATATTTTCCCTAGAGTTACTGTATGTATCCTTTTTCTAGCTGTTGAATTCAACGTCGGGTACTTTGCAACAGCTCAATCCATTCTTACAAACACTTGCAGTACAATCTGGAATTGGTTTTGCTTCACCAAAAACGAATTCGGTCATAGCATTTCCCTCCGGTGTAAGAAATATTGTTATATTATTCCAGACAATTAATTTGATCAAAACGAACTAAACTTTGAGCCTTAAGTTTATCTACAAGACGAGGTGAAGCTTGAAAGTACCAGTTCCATGAAGTCCAATAAATTTATTGACTTGATTTTTTTTTCAAAAACATAAAATAAAAGGAAATCGTAATTTTTGTCGCATAAGAAGTCTTATTGGTTCTAAACGTAGAATAATAGTGGCAAATTGTTCTTTAACTTTTCAAATAAATAGGCATGGCAGCGTATTGGCTGTCCAAGTTTGAACTTTTCTGATTCGTGAAAGTGAGTTTGAAAATTTCAGTCGTTTCTTGAGAAACGTTTGGGGGAGAACCATGGCATCCATACTAAAAATGATTTAGAGTTTATCAGTGAAATAGTATTGTATTACGAATTTATTGATTTTTGTTGCTGAGAGCTGAGCTCGTAAAATAATGGTGCATGGAAAGTGGAAAAGAGAGATCTGGACGGGGTTGGGTATTTTTGTTTTCTGAGGGAGAGGCGGATGAGCAGGCAAATCGGTTTTTCGCACGGAAATCCAAGATGTTTTCTACAGCTGCCATCGTTTTGTTACTCGACGCGTTCCTGGATTTTTATCATTCTTTCGCTTATCTGTTGCATTTGATTGAACTTATGTAGCTTATCTTATGTAGCTTATTCCTGAAAAATGTTGCACAATAGTTTAACTGAGAGCTCCAGTTAAAATGAAAGCGATATCATGTAAATAACAGTGATGGACATATAATGTTGCAAAAGCTGTGGTATGTAATTGGTTGCTGTAGGCTTTCGATTTTATATTTTTTGACTTTCCACCTGGGAAGTGGCTTTACAAATTTGTTCAGTGCGAGAACCGTCAAAAAATTTCAGAAAGAGATTGAAAGCACAGACAAAGTTCTGTGTCGCAATCCGAATGCAACTGGAAATGAGCAGGACGCCAAAAGGATACGTCTTTCTTCTCATTCGCTGAAACCCTCCACATCCCAGCATATCAGCACTGTTTCATCAACTGCTGTTAGAGGTGTATCTGGTAGTAACGGTGATATTACAACAGGTAACGTTTCATTTTTATCATTCAATGAGGTTTATTTGAATAAAAAAGCTTTTTTGTTTTTTCGTAATTGGGAGTAATTGCATTGACTTCGTTGTGCCAGATAGGAAAGTTCTCGATCTGTTCAATGCAAATTTAGATCTTAACATTAGGCTAGTTTCACCTAGGGTTTCTTAACGAAATCAAAAAAATTTTCCTATATATCAATAAATAATTTTTCGTTTATTTATGGAAACCGAAAAATTGAAGGACTTACATCTGGACATCAGAAGGTTGTCTTTGCAACTAAGTTTACTGTGCATTATTTCAGATAAAATCAAATTTAGACAATAGTAGACTCTTGTATTATATATTGTTCAAAACTCCATAAATTTTATTTTGGTAAAGTTTCCTAATTTACGTCGCACGAAAGCAGTTTTCATTTTGAAAAATATTTTTTCAAAGGTTTAAACATGACTAATTTCTCTTATCTTTTTCATGATTGTTTTAGTTGATATCATGCAAATGAAAAATACGCAAACAAAAATTGATTAGTATCCTGGAAATATTGAAAATAAGATATATGCATAGAAATACGCGTATGTATGCCATCCGTCTGTTATTGGTGTGTATTTTCAGTTAGTGTAGAATATGAGTAGTGGATTTGTGAGTGCCAAGGATGGTGGGAATGGCTGGATTACAGTAGCACTGAGGTTGAATAGTGTGGGACGCTTAAGAATCAATTAAGGAATGGAATGAGTGTCATCTGGAGACAAACACTATTAGGCAATCGTTACCGCACCGCATGTTCGAGACACACTGGCATGCATATAATGGAGCAAAACGATACCTTAGGACTGAAGAGACGTAACACTTCGTTTACAGCATCTGTTCGTTATAAAAAGACATCGTTGTCCATACAGTATTTATCACTCATTTTATCTATATCTTCATAATCTCTGACCAGTTCATTTCTAGTATTAGGTAACTTTCCTCAACAAAGAGATTCGAGACTTTATTGCATTAGAGGTGGGGGGGACACTTAGAATTTGGCTTTTGGTTAGATGGTTGCTTTTTGGCCTGAGTGGTAAGAGTTCTCTCAATTGAGTAAATTTTGGTTTTTCTTCACACGAAGGTCATGAATTCTTTGTGGAAACTGTCAGAGATCCTGTATGTTATATTCATAAGTTTTCGAATACGGCATAACAATGTTAGTCTTCGGCATATGTAGATAATAAATGAAAGTTTAGAGGAGGGAAAGGGGGAAGTTGAATGCAGGGTATTCGAAAGGTGTGGACCGAACAGCCCTCGGAGGTTAGCTTGTATCGTTGATTATCTTAAGCGTGGGAACTGTCTCCATATGTCGTGCTGCTATATGTGTTGTGCTACTCTTTGAATATATGATGACTTGAGCTAATAGACCTTAGCTTCCGTTAAGCGATGCTTCCTTTCCTGACAATGTAAGTTGCCCCGCCCTTGTATGCTTACTTATCCTCCACCTTCCCTCCCCATCCAGCAAATAATGCCTTTATATGAGAAATGCTTAAAGTGGTGAAATAATTGAGGGCGGTTCTCGACCGTCTTGTGAGATCTTGGCCCAAACATAGAATAAAGTAGCAGTAACACAAAGTAGTCATGGCAGGGGATAAGGATGGATGCGGACATGATTAAGGATATGGAATAATTTTTGCCTGTTGGTGATGGGAGAATTCTTGAGACTTTTCTGAGTTCCCATCACACATTTGGACTGTCCGCCCTTTTACTGCTTCTCAAGGATGGATTATGTACCACTTCCATCAGAGCCAACTGAGAGCCTGCAAATCCAGCAACCGGTAACTGTTTCAGCGCAAGGCACGTCCGCAAGTTCCTCGTTAGTGTCCCCGTCCCTTATTGCTTCACCTCATGACTTCCTTATTCCCTCGATTACTTCCCCTGCCAACTACGGCTCTCCACCTTCTATTGAGTTCGGTACGACGCAACTCTCCTCTGCTTCATATTGCTATTCTCAATGCTCTAATTTGCATTCTCAGTCTTTGTGGCCTTCTGTCGGCAATTTCCAGCCTTTCGGCAATCATACGGCCGTTTTATCATATCATCAAATCCAGCAACAACAGTTTCTCTGTCAACCTCAACACCTTGGGCATTGCACAGCAATGGGTACTGATAAATTTGTATTTGCCAACTAATTCTAAGAGCCTGTCGAGCTTTCTATAAGATTTTTTTTTGGGTTTTTCAAGTGACTTCGTTTTATGCAGAATATATGAACTGTTTTTGTTTAATGCTTTTTCGATTTCCCGAACATTAGGGAGAGGGATCCGTGACTCATATCGCAGAAACAAATCAATAGAGAATATATGGTCGCAAGTCCTGTAGATTAAACAAGATCCTGAATGATTTCGGTGTCAAACATAACAAAGTCTAGTGTACTGGAAAATATTTTTCAAATCACATGTTCAGAAAACTTAGATCATTGAGGTTGAAAAATCCTAATTGCAAGTGTTTTTAGTTAGCTTCAGAGTTCCCAGTTCTCGTTACAAGTGTTTCTAGTCGATTTTAATAGTTTATGTCTTTGTGACCAGCTGTCAGGAATTCTTCAAAAGAAAAATATTCTCAAAATGTATTCATATGACTCATAAATTAATGTTTCTCCCAGTATTTTGTTCTGCGTTTGGTTTAAGTTACTCAAGGTCAGAGTAGAAGTTTGAACTATTATTGATGCAGTCATTTACTTATTGAAGGAATGTTGTAATGCCATCTTCACTCAGATCACATTGTCGATTCTGTAGAAGTGCCATTTAGACTCATTTTATGGAGGTATCTCGAGTCCACCGGGCACCACATTTGGATCATCCTGTGGTGCTTTTGATTCATTTAGTGGTATTGGCACAGGAGTCACGCCACAGCAAAATGTCAGTTACGCTGGTGCTATGAATTTACCGCAGCAATTACCTTTTTTAAATATTATTGGTGAGCAACAGCCACTTACCAGGTAAATTTTGTGGACTTGTTTTCGTGGTTAATAAAATTCATTGTTTACTGGGAATGAGGTGATGTAGCTAGGAGATAATTATATTAAAAATTGCTGACTTTTTGGAAGGGTTTTTCAATTTACCAAAGGCCCTTTTTTTCAGTCGTTTCAGTAACTTTGTTCCATTTCATAAATTTGATGCTCTTTTAACTTGCTCTAAAGTCTTTAATCATCCTTTACACTGACTTTTATGTCTTGAATTTTTTTTGGTTGCAGAGAAATAATGCAAGATTATCTGAATAATCGTCAAAAATATGATTGCATTGTTAGTATATTTCATGCTAAAGTGGCGCAGAAATCTTACGGGAACGAAAAAAGGTTGGTGAATCAATTTATGAAGTTTCAGACAAAATTTTAGCGTTTTTAAAAAAAAATATCCAGAAATTTTTTAATGAAGCTGTTCCTTGCATCACTTTTTTTATATCATGCTGTAGAACACTTCGTGTGGTTTTCGAAAAGCACTTAAGCGAGAGTTCAACTCCAAAGAATTAGCTGAGATTATTTACTATAATTAATCCTAATTTTGATTAAATGAAGTTCATGAGTGATTCAAGATGATAGGACTTCAATTTCAGTCGTGGTTGTGGGCAACGGAGTTAATTCTCGAAATAGTGTGATTATTCAGTTTTGTGATTCCAGTTTTCCCTTCATCTTTATGATCTGGATTATGCTTTCTTCTGATTTCAAAACTATTATTCTTAACTTTTTTCAAGAGAAACAAAATTTATAGGGACGATTGTTGATCACGTTCATTTTATCTGGGATCTGCAATCCTCAGTGCGGTGCTGGTTTAAAGAGAAATGTAGTTTTATGGTGATTGTTAGGAATAGGTTCTGGAAAGTGTGAGAATATCTATTTAATTTTCGTTTTCCACCTAATTCCATCCTTTGTCGAACTGGTTTTTGTTTCTAGTACATTTTAACTGCTGTCATTACTTTGCACACACCCACAACTACCGTACTTAGATGAGTGACTTCTTCACATTTCCCACCTTCTTTACTTCTTGCTTTAGAGTGGCCTATTGCAGGCATGTAGTGTCGCTACCGTATCCTTCATGTCATTACATCTGATCGATTCTTTTCCATTCTTAGGCCTTAACTTCGTCATTGTTTACTCTTGTTAAGCTTATTGAAAAACTTCCAACCAATAACCATATGCCCTCCCTTTCCCTTTTTACAAACTTTTTTATTCATCGCATGGAGAAAAAACCAATATTGCACAGAACTAAACATGATTTTCCATGGACTTAAACGGCAATGTAAGAAAATATAGCGGTCAAATGAATTATTTGAATAAAATCCTGTAGCTAATAATTCCAAAAAAAGTCAATTCCTCTTTTGTAAAATACTTTTCTACGTCAACAAGCATATGAGTTACCAAATTATTAATACCATTATTGAGTTCGCTCAATTTCTTGTCATTATGGCAAACCTTTTTTTCTCATCCCATGGAAAAACTGTCGGGTTGTTTTTATCATGGGAATGGGTTTTCAGATTTTTCTGTCCTCCGCCATGCATTTATCTTTTCGGAGATGGATGGAAGCATAAAAAGAAGATGGCGGAAGATTTATATCGACGATATCGTGAATATCAAAAGCGAAGCGATGTGCAGGAAACGGACTCAGATGCGGAACGCATTAGTGAAGCTCGGTCTACTGAATTATGCGCATTTATCGGAATCGGAGCACCATCTGAACAGGAAAAACAAACACTTGATTTCTCCAGTAACAAGGTTCTGGTTTTTTCAAACAATCGGTGCACTTGGTGTGAATTGGAATCGCATGCATTCAAACTGATATTGTCGAACTCTAACTTTGAAGACTTAATCATGTAGGCATTCAGACAAAAACAGATTTTTCAAAGCTTACCATGTATGTGGTACTTTAGCAGTTTTAAGATTTTGGAGATCCCTTGTGATGTAGGATATTTTGAGTTGTAAGCTTCCGCTTTCACTTGATGAAACCGGTCCGTCATTTTTTCTACTCAAATCTTATTTTAAGTCAAATTGTAAACAACTATAATCCTGGTAATAAACATTTGGAGCAGCTGTGAGAGGAGGAAATTATTTTGTCGGCTTACTGTTCGGCCCATTGGTAGTCATGAATCTAAAAAATTTCAGCCGATACTCCGAAGTTGATGATGTATTCTCTTTGTATTAAATGAATTTTGTCTTGGAAACTAATTTCCTTCCAGTGTTCTGTACTTCTCATCCTGTGTTATTAACATATTTCAGGATTACTGTGCGGCGAAGACATTATACATTTCGGATGCCGATAAACGGAAATATTTCGAGCTTTCGGTGCAGTTCTTCTATGGGTCCGGACATGAAATTGGAGTTTTTTCTTCTCAGCGAATTAAAGTTATCAGTAAACCAAGCAAAAAGAAACAAAGCATGAAGAATACCGACTGCAAATACCTTTGTATCGCTTCTGGTACCAAAGTGAGGCACTCTTTCTTTGTTCTTTTTGTTTTGCGTATGAAATAAATTCATTTAAGCCTGTTTTAGGTTGCCTTGTTCAATAGGCTTAGGTCGCAAACTGTCAGTACGCGCTATTTACACGTTGAAGGAGGAGGATTCCATGCGAGTTCGACAAAATGGGGTGCTTTTACAATCCATTTGAGTTAGTTCTGTTATATCAGTTTATTTATTGGCTGTTGTTTTGTTTAATTTTGTTGTTTTTTGTTTGAAAGGCTTCGAAAATGCCATGTTTTTGAACATTTCAGTCGAGGATGATCCTGGCGCAGGTGAATCGGAGGATTTCAATGTCAAAGATGGCTTCATTTACTATGGTGCTTTAGTAAAACTCGTTGACAGCGTTTCAGGAATTGCTTTGCCTCGTTTGGTGTGTACCAACTTTTTTTCATTGTGAACCGTCTGCTGATAGTTGACTGTGAAATATTACTACTAATGTTCATGAATATATCAATGTTATTTTCTTTACTTTTTTTAGAGAATTCGTAAAGTTGATAAACAACATGTTGTACTAGATGCATCAGCAAGTGAAGAGCCAGTTAGTCAACTTCACAAATGTGCATTCCAAATGGTTGATTCTGATACAGTTTATCTTTGTCTTTCGCATGATAAGATTATCCAGCATCAGGTAAGCTTTTTCTATTTCATATACTAAAGAAATGTACTATTACTTTAGAATCTGAAAGTTTTGGAAGGATTTAAAAGGCTTTAATTCTGGAGCAGGATGATTTAGTTGTGGAGCAAGTTTAGTTGCTTCAACTATGTTATTGCTCTCTTGCAGGCTGTACCCATCGACACAAATCGACACCAGATTAGTGATGGAGCATCTTGGACTATTATTTCCACCGATAAGGCAAGTTTGGGATGTTTTAACGAGAATTTTATTGAAACTAGTTTTTTATCCAGTGAGTTGTTATATCTGCGAAAAAAAATGGAAGGAGCTACATATACGTTGGCTATTTGCACATGCCCTTTTACTAATGAACGTTGGTATTTCAAGGTAGCGCTGTGAAGTTTTTATAATTATTTGACTTATAAGTTAGCATTTGAATATTTTAATTCATCAATACTTTTTTGTCTTAGGCTGAATATCGATTTTATGAAGCCATGGGACCAGTACGTCAACCAATAACTCCAGTACCTGTTGTCAGTGGTATGGAGCTGTACGGCGATGGTGACCTTGCACGAGTCGATCTCATTGGTTCAAATTTCAGGACGAATCTTAAAATTTGGTTCGGTACCATACCAGTGGATACCATCTTCAGGTTTGTTCAGTACTAGATTAGTTAAGATTATATCAAATGTAAGTGATACATCGTAATGAAGAATCACAAATTAACGGTTAGTCATGTTTCCGTAGTTTTCCGCCCAATGAAATTAATTTTTGCAGAAGTAATTAGTTGTAGATCAGAAGAAATGATGGGTTGTTTGGTACCTCCACTGTCGGCAGTTTGTCCGAATTGGGCACCGTATTGTGGTGAACCTGCTGCAGTACCTTTATCTTTGGTACGTGATGACGGTGTCATTTATTCCACAAATATGACATTTAATTACAAAAGCGAAACGGCTGCACGGTCTATGGTGAATCGCCGATATTTGGAAAATATGAGAACCTAAGCGTCCTCGATGATTAATTTGTCTTTTTTTGGTCCGCATTTTATTTTTACTGTGCATATTGTTTAATTTTTTTTGTTTCTACTGTGCATATTGTTCTAAGAATTTGGATATAATTTTGAGCACCATCGGAAATACAATGGGTACACGACCTGTTCTCCCTTATTTGTTGAAGTGAAAATACTCGTATTTCACCCGTAATATTGCTTTGAATCACAAAAGGTGTTATTAGTTTCTTTAATTCTTTTTTATTTTTAAGTATGCGAAAGGCGAGGGATTGGTTATATGGTCTGCTTTTATTTTAATTTTAAGTATGATGTTTTTGTGTCCGGATAATTGTCAGCTTTTTGGCTCTATAAATGCTTGGTACGTTGGATTGTGCTCCGTCTTCACACCATAGACTTATTTTAATTTTTTAAGTTGTTGGCAAACAGAATACATTGGCAAGTATAGTGTTTACACTGTGCAATGCTATGAGCACTTTCTTTTCTAAGATCCTTATATTGCGATATGTCCCGACATTACTAAATTTCATATCTTAGGTTGTTATACAATTGCGATTTACGACATAAGTACTATATTCACTTTATTCCACTTTTTTTTCTATTTTTCACCGGAGTAAAGTATTGAGTTGTATCATATTTGATTGTGTTTGAGAATGTGAAGGGAGGGAGGATCCTGTTACATCTTGGAAATTTATCTGGGACCTGAATTCGTTCGATGATGTTACAGGGAGTTTAAAAGGAGAGACCTATGCGCACATGGAACCAGTGGTTTTAACTGTGCGCTATTTCTGGGGTGGATGCGTTGAACATTGTTTTTATTATTTACATTTTTCGATGTTGGATTGTGTGGCATGGTTCACAATTTACAGTTGATAGGATTCTTGCAGTATACAGTGTGTCCACCAGGCATTTTACGGATTCCGTGTGGGCATTTTTTGTGTCCGTAGGAGTCCCGTGCTGCTAGGCATTTTCCGTTCCGTAGCATTTTTGAACCTAAATTTGATAGGGAGTTTGTGGTTGCTATTAACTGGATGGAATTCGATCGGAATTGTTTTGAGAGTAGGGTTCTAGCGGATTGAGGTTTCTCGATTTGCAGCCTAACGAGTTGTAGCTGCTGCGTGATTGGCGTTCTCTGCGGGGTGTGGTCACATGACCGTATTTGGCATTTGGTTATTAAGCCGGGCGATAGAACGCTATATAAAGTCTGGGTTAGAAATGTATTTTAATAGAAGGGATGAGTTACCTTGCTTGCAGAATCTTGTTTGCTGTGGACATTTCCGTATGTCCGTTTGCTCTCTGCACTTCAAGTAGCGATGTTGTAGGTTGGAGTTGTTGCATGATGACCATCGTGTATAATCATCTTCAACTGGGTCGTCCTGAAGAAAGTTATAAGTCCATCACTTCTCGGGAAATGCACATAGGCATTTTGCCATATGTCCTCCTCATACGGTAGTGATAGTATCTGAAACAAACCCGGAAAACGTCGGATATTTCCTTCTTGTTGCGGGTTCGTGGAACTTCGAAATAAAACATTCGAACTCCTTGGTTTTCAGCAACAAATACGTTCGGATGTGTTTCGCGACTCTCCGTGTTTAACAAGCAGTTCTGCAAGCGGTCATGTAGAATAATTCTCGCCAGGAATCTTTAATCTGGGTGGTGTCCTCGTTTATTAAATAAGCTGCGAAAGGCAGTATGCACAATGAAGGGAGACTATATACCTGGTCTTCATCATTTGGGTACCACATTGCTGAACGGCACACGAATGAGAATTCCTGTTCAGCTTGCAAACAGGCGGTCATACATTCTGTGAGCGAAGGTGCGTCGATCACTTCCATAACATGACCAACAAGGATATGATCCAAGACCGTTGGCCACAACTTTTCTGTCGCGTCCGCCGGATTCGCTGGCAAACAAAACTGAAATTGATGAGGGTCTCAAATACCTTTATGAATTGTATAACATTTATTCTGATGCAAACTTTACATATCATAAAATTAGATCGACCATTACTTTTCTCTCGTTAACCCATAATTTTGATTGCCTTCTGATCTCTTTTCCAAAAGAGGGACAACCTTCAAATTTTCCATTCGCTCATTTTAATAAGTAATGAAATGAATAAATGATAAAAGCAACAGGTGAGATTGGATAAAACTATGTAGTGAAACGATGGAAATACGAATGTTGTGCATACCTTTTCCAGATATGTACTATTTTCTTTGAAAACAAAATCGTCACTGCTTTTGTGAGCGGCCTTTGAAACTGACAATTCGCATTTCTTACCCCTGTGGATCACAGATGAGCTGCAATATATGATGAGGATTGCATCACTGAAGCAGATAATGCAAGCTTCACATGACTACATTCATCCTGACGATTACTGCAACTGTAGCTGTAACTTGAACATCCTGTCTACATCTATTTCTGATCTAACAATTTCCGAAATGGAATAAAATTTTGACATTTTTGTTCTTTAAAACTCTGAAAACATCTGAGCAGGCATGATTTGAATTTTTTAATTGAAAAATTTATAATTAAAACTTTCAGAGACCAAATGAAAGTCTCATCTTCGTCACATGCTCTCGCACATTCTTTCAAACTTTCTCCTTTAACAAGTTGCGTATCAGTCGTTGAATTTAGCCGTTCGTAATTTGATATCGTTATGTAACGTGACACATCTTCATCTCTGCAGGGCTTTTCACTACTTTTGTTATCTGATTTTCGGGGTACAGGCTGCAAAAAAGTAGTGGACTTCTGGCGATAAAACTATATCTTAAGTCTATGTTGGATTTTCAAGTTCTTTCGTCTTGCAATTGCAACCCTTTCACAAGGAATTATTCGAAATTTCCCATTTTTTCCATTTTTAAATTATTGTAATGATAAACAAAATATCTAACTGATGCTTGATAGTTCGAAAACGAATGCAATCGATGTTTTGTTCTTGTTTTGGTTATTCCCGTACCTTGTGGAACTTCTAGGTAATTTGACCCTTGATTGCCTGCATCCGGAATAGCCAAGTACTGACTTGAATAAACAGTAGAAGATGGACTAGTATGCAGATACCTATAGTAATCGACAGATATTTTTGTTATTTATTCTTAAATGTTAATGAATTGGCTAGTTTCTGACAATTTTAACAATACTTTTGACATTTTTAACATTTGTATACTATATATCCTGTATACTATATATACTGTATACTGTCCATTTCAGAAATGATCCGAAAATGTTTCTTCCATTCAAGAATACTAATTGGTTAACCAATATTAAAGGAAAGATATATTAAAATATCTTCCAGCAAGATTTGACCACTGTAAATGAAGAAAAGATAATGTACTCGAGATAATCTCTATCCAAATATTCAGTAAGAAAATGAGGAGGACTTGTGCCATTTACAGCAAACAAATCGCAAATTTTCCAGTGATGATCGAAAGTTAACGAACGACACACCCATTCCGAATCGGGATTCTAGGATAGTTACGGATTTATTATGCAAAAAGTGAAAAGATTGAAATACTTTATTAAATTATTAAGTTCCTTATTAATTTTTAAATGGAAATGAAAGGATAGGAGATCGAACTTGTACGTCTTAAAATGATGAGTGGCTCTTTCAATTACGAAATTTAGATGGTTTAACCGACTGTTACCTGAAAATAGAGACAATTTTTAATACAGTTCTCGCATGTGGAACCAGTTTTTCGCTCAAACATTATTGCATTTGCAACTGCAGTTTGAGGCTCGAATCGCCAAGAGTTATGATCTGAAACAAGGTAGTTCCATACCATTTACAAATTTATTGTTTGGGAACTACTATAAACAGAAGCGAAGATGGGAAGAGAAAGAAAGAGAGAGTAGATTTATGATAGATTTTTTTTGGAAAAAGAAGCAGAACTTGTAGAATGCTTGCTGTTATCTTCGCTAGTGTTGTTAATGTTGTGATATCAATCACTCCACATAAAATGTTTCTGGAAGTTTTAGCTTGATTTCATTTGATGTGGGCAGAAATATTTGAAGAGTAATAGACGTTTATCGTTTCCGTCTTATTGAAACAAGCATACCAAAGGAACATTTCCCAGAACTTTTGGCATCTCGTCTTATCGGTGGTGGCGGTGGCCGGTATCCAAGTGATGGTCCATCGTTTGTTGGAATACGTGGTGGAGTTACAGGAACTGTTGGTCTTAAATAGCTATCGTCTGATTCGCCTTCTCTGTAACTTGTTTCTGATGCTACATCGACAGATGATTCCGTTATGCTTGAATACTGACCGTTAGTTGATCGCAGCAAGCATACGAAAATAATAACTAGCATGATACAATTTGTCGATGTGCGATGATTGCAAAATTTTTAGGTAGATGGACGCCCAAATCAGAAGAGATATGATATTAAATAGGGTACTGGGGGGCGGAACAAAACGCAGCATGGATTAAGTCCTTGGAAGATAGATTGATAGTGGAATTCGGAAGACAACTGGATGACCCCGATCCTTCACTACAGCATCTTCTATTGCCCTGAATTCGATTAATGGATACCGACAAGTAATACCTTCCTACAACAGTATTGCACCATTCATTTCCGATTATGTTCTCTAAATGGGTATTTCCTATTAGTTAATCAGTGAAACTTGCAACCAGAAAGTATTATCAAATACTACCGGTTTTTTTTTGGATGTACTGTATTTACCAGTCCTTACTAGTCGGTTTTTTAGACAATCATCTTGAAAATCCGGATGTTTTTATTCTAAACTTGGAACACAGATTTTTTAAAATGTATTATCGAATTTCAGGAGGGGAAAATAATAGTTGTAAATGAAAAAAAAAAAAAAAAAAAAAAACAGAAACTGCCCATCAAAGTGGAAATTCTCCCCACACAAAATCGACGAATGAACTTTGGACTTCCAATTTGCACAGGAAACACTTATTTTCATTCCAAACACAGTGTTAAATTTCGATGTATTTTACAGAAGAATACACCAAAATAGCTATTATGCGAATCTAATGATTCAATGTCAGCATTTCGAAACAAAAACGAAAGACGAAATTCCTTCTCGATAGTGTGTAGTCTTTCAACACCCCACTCCACTCGATTTTCAAAAATCGAACCTCAAACGCGTATCTTTCTGATTAATCACCAGAATAAATTACTGGCTTTACTTTTAATTTCTCTCAAAAATGGAAAAAGTTCCACTCAGATTCTATTTTATTATTGCGTAGCAGCCCAAATACATTTCCCCATAACCTACTGAACCAAAAACTGCCTGTTAGTCACTTCATTTGATTTCATTTTTTATTCTAAATTTTTATTTTTTTACCACTTTACGTTTGCCAAGAATACATTCAAATTGTACACATACTGTGTTTGAAACCACTATTACACAGAATATACATTTTACAAAAATTAAAACGATCCGTAGACCACACAATTACAAATAATGATACTGGAAATGATTATAGAGAAGAATGCTTTGGAAGCTTGGCACTAAGGGAGATATTCGAAATAAAAACCAATATCATGCACAACAGTATAACGTGTTCAACAATTTGTTTTTATATACATGAACTGAATGATGAATTAAATTAATAAGTGCCATTAATCTTTGGAACTTCAATAGTCATCTTCATCTCGGAGTAATAATTAAATAAACCGTCATCCTAAGTCGAAACATCTGTAGAAAAAATCCTACGATCTTCACGCAACATCTCTATATTTCCACATCACTCAGTTACTTCGAGACCCAGAATCAGTTGTTGTGGAATATTTTTTTCAGCTCATTTAAGTCACTCATATAAACAATCACACAACCTCATAATCTTTTTCGTTCTGCATCAGCCCTGTAAATTTTTCTTTGGATCAGTAGAAAGCATTAAAAGAACATTTAAAAATAATCGCTGTGATTACGAAACACTACCAAAAACAGACCTTCGCAGAGATAAAGTAAATAAATCCTTTTAAATGCTTGGCACAATATTTGCGAAAAACACTTTTTTGTCATGAAAGATCTATGAGATCATCAAAGAACGTGAAATAAATGTTTTATTCTCTCGGCGTTGCTTTGGATACAAATGCGAAATAACTACAGCAAGCTTTCATTTATTTCCGCTAAAAAAACTATTGACATAATGCATTTATTAAAATAATTCCATTAACAAACCTTTTCATGGATCCTGAGAAACGTTGTTCGAGCAAAAGTTAGCATTATCTAACAAACAAAATATATCCAGCAGAAAACAAACAAGTAAGCGAAACTATGAAATGCAAACGAGTTCCGATAACTGCTGCCTGCAAGTGTTTTTAGAATGAGATGCGCTCGGCAATAGTCCAAGTTCAAATAGTAATTTACTAATTTATTGAGTAATAATACCTCATTTAAAGTTTCACGAGAAAGATCTGCGGAAAACTTCACAATTTCGAAACAAGGAGAAATTTTTCGTTGCAGTTAACAAAGGCGGACAAATTCACTCTTCAAGTTAACAGTCTATAAAAAGACTAGATAATATACGAACCGAATCATGGGATTTAAAATAAAGTGAGAAATCAACATTATTCTGAAAGATAATAAATAAAATCAATGAGCACTTACTTTATAAAATATACCAAGGAAACCTTTCTTCTCACTAAGAAGCCACAGATTAATGCGAGGTACCCTCTTTAAATAAGCACAGGTGCAAATTACGAGCAAACCGACAATAACAGCACCATCAAACGAATATGCTGTAAATATTTGGATATATATATATATAGTTTTTTTATAATACAATGATCAGCTTACCAATCTAGAACCAACAGTTTATTTGAAGCATCTTACATATTTGCTTCAGAAAATTGGTTCTAGTTATTCTATCCAACAAAACATATTTCTTGATGGCAACACAACTTGATATTTCAATGTCTAAATTATCTCATCAACGTTGTTTACACATATCAAGAGAATAAATATATTACCGTTCATAAAGACCGATAGGATGAGAATTCCGCTTGTTCAAATGCCTAAAATCTCGAGATTTACTAAGAAAGCTATAATATTGACACAGACTGTCACAATTTTGGATAAAGACATGTTATTACATCTAGAATGCCAACAAGCACGTCAGTTTATTGTTCTAATCCAATAGTCTATTAGCATAATAACAATAACATTAACAGAACGACAACCACATCAATAATTACATGGCAAAAGAAAAAATCGGAGTCAAAACTTCGTTCATTTACGTCAAAGATCAGTTACGTCAAAGATAGTGTAAACAAATGTTACACAATAATAAATTTTGAACGATCTTCGCGGTAGACTAATTTGCTAAATTCGTGGTATACATCAGGCCTGGAACCTCCTCCTCTCTCCCTGCTCGCAACAAACGTTCAAACTTCTCCGACAACCATCATAGTACCGACAGAACCAGATTTCGTTTCACATAATTTCAATCAAATAAAAAGGATAATAGGGAGCGCGGCTTCTTGAGAGGTGACAGACAGGTGGAGTTAGCGGAATGATGCATGGGTGAGCTGAATAGTTGTTAATGGATGTAGATAAGAGTCGAGTGTTGGGGGACTATGCGACATCCGAATTGCTGGGGGTCGGGTCCTCCAAATAACAACCAATAACGGTTATTATCTATGTACATTCAGTCTTATAACATGTGTCTATGAATTTTGCGTATGAGTAGGTTTTTGCCCTACTACTCAATTGAAGTAAATCTTCCAAAATACCACAACAATCTGAAATCTTATTTACGTATTAATGGATTATTTTAGATTAAAGACTTAAATAAGATACTTAGTAATAGCGAGTTGTGTTTTATGTTGATGTTTATGGATATTTTCATCATTCAAGAAATGAAGTGCTAGGAAACGGCCAATTTAAACTTCCATAATTTTGACATTTCGAGAAAAAAAGAATTTAAATTACAAAATCACATTACATGCTGGCAATGCTCTTAAGAAAAATTCTACCTGATCATTCTGCACAATGAGTTTTCGTTGAAGCAATATCAGGTTGTCGAATATGAATGCGTGTGGAAACGGGAATGAGGTGAAGTTTAGGATACCAACAAATAGTTTATTTAATTTTGTAATTATTTCGGGTATATGTTTTCTAAAAGTTCAAGTCAGGAAGGAGGAAGAAATTCTCCATAGTTTTCACTGAAAGCAAAACAAATACAAATGGGTCTTATCGTTTACAACATTGAAGAGTGGAGAAGTACTGTTTGGAAATATACGGAAAAAGAACTTAGTAACAACTGAATTTTATTTCTCGATACACAAAATGTACTAATTTTTTAACTTTGTTTATACAAGTTAGATGTGGGATTTCATTTCGTAATGCATTGTTGTTAAAGCCCTTGTGGGTGTTTCTGGAAGGTGAGCTGGTAAAAACTCGATCAGTTTTTGAATTCAAGAGCTTAAAGCTGTGGCAGAATGTTTATGCTGTGGCAGTTGTTCATGTTAACATATCGAAACTCTTATCCCTTCTACTCTTCCTTCATCCTCCTTCGGGGAATTTCTTCAACTTTTTCTTCTTCCTCAACTTTCAGTTTGCTCTGCAATCCCTATTACTGACAAGTCTTAACTAGCAAGCCAGGGTGGTTTAGATGAATATGTTGTAAAGAATTTTTAAAGTGAATCTTACCAATTGTTCCTGCTCTTACAACCGCTGCTGATGTTGCTGTTGCTTTGCCGTTATTGCTGTCGAAAACTGTTGTTGTCGAAAGAATACAGAGTGATTGGATTGCAACTCTCTTTCTTGAGCTTTTCAGTCAGCTATTTTAAGGTTTCTTCACTCCGAGTCATACATCTTGAGCTTCGTGCAGCAAAAATCAAGACTAACCTGTAAAACTATCCTCCCTATCATTCCTCCTTTCCTCTTCATGCTTTATTGCATTAACCCTTCAAAAATTCATTATCATTTCCTAAAAACCCAGTCATTCTAAAATGCTTGGTCCAGGAAGATGGAAGTTCCTTATTATTGTATATCATTCCACATTGCTACATCTTCTCACTTGTTGGTAGCGAACGTCATAAATAGTTAAAACTTTTTTTTCTTCATTGATTGCTATTAATTTAAGCTTTCATTTCTCTACAAAATGAGAATCCTTATCGTTTACCACATTAAATCGTGTTTTAAAATGATACATTTACAAAATGGGTTACAGCAGGGTGTATCTTGAAATGAAAAATTTGACATTTTAATATCCGGTAAAATTGGGAAATCAAGCTAATAATTGTTGTTAATTTTGCATAGAAAACATCAATATGTTGAATAATTGTGGAATGTACTCACCTAATTGCTTTCCTCATACAATCACCGACGATGACTTCATACTTATTCCATATCTCATAATTGAATTCAAAATGCTTATGACTTACCCAAATTAGTCTTCTTGATTTGTGTGAAATTAGCTTCAAGTTTCTCGGATTTTGATACTTCGTCCTACTCTTAATGTAGATGTGATTCGAAATTTAAAATATAACGTTATGTGTTCCTATTCTTATTTTCAACGTTCCGGCTTTTTACAAACGTCATCAGAAAACCTTTTCTTGAATATTCCTGAGGGTCCCCATTGCAAAAGTTACCGTTAGAAGAAAATTATTATCTATGTTTGCTTGAACCACGTTACATCTGTAGATTTTATTTTTGCATTCCCGTAAAGAAGCAATCCATTGACAAGTTTTCTGTACCTATACTTCGGCTTAGTATTTTTCATTCCGTGTCTCATTTTCCTACGTAAGACAAAACGTAAAACAAAGCTTAAATTTATTAAAAACTGAACATTTATTTGAAGCAGACGACATTCTTTCGGTATGGATTATGAGAAGGATCCAGGTTGGCAGTACTTGCGACAGACGCGCGAGCAGATGGCTGCTGTAAGTATTAAATTTCTTGTGCATTTCAACTATGAATTTTTTTTCACGAAAGAATTCGTTTGGGATTCAAGCACATTTTCTAAAATGAATTATCCGCTTATTCGTCGCTATAATGCGAAACATCTGACTTTGATTACCTGTTTAACATTATGTAACACTTGAAAAATAAGAAACCGGGAGATTAGGAGATATATTTCGAAAAGTAAAAATTGATTAAAAACATGATCGAAACATCTTTCGTCCTATTTCTTAAGCGAAATGATCTTTGCTTGAAGGATCAGTCAAAACCATTTGATTCGAAAAAGAATTGTTGGATTCCTGATGCTGAAGAAGGATATATTGCTGCCGAAATAACAAGTACAAAGGGGGACAATGTCACCGTGGTGTCTGCTCGTGGTAATGAGGTCTGTTTACATGACAAATATGCGCAAAAAATGGCAGAGCTAGGGTGCTGTTGTCTTCAGCAGTAGTAGTCAGTCAAATACGGAAAGTTACTAAACAATCTTTATGAAATGTTTTTTAGGTGACATTAAAGAAGGATATGCTACAAGAAATGAACCCACCAAAATTCGAAAAAACAGAGGACATGTCAAATTTGACATTTCTGAATGACGCGTCTGTATTGCACAACCTTCGAGCACGATATTCCGCAATGCTCATCTATGTGAGACTTCTGATAAGACATGAGATCACTAAGATATTATTCAGTGAATATTATTCACTTTTAAGAACATGTACTTTTGGAAGTTTCTGCAACTCCTCTGTATTAAAGCATTGAATTATAATGGGGAAATGTTTAGATAATGAATATCCAAAATTTCAGACTTATTCCGGTTTATTTTGCGTCGTGATAAATCCCTACAAACGTCTTCCAATTTATACTGATTCGGTTGCAACAATGTACATGGGAAAAAGACGAACTGAAATGCCACCACATTTGTTTGCTGTATCAGATGAAGCTTACCGAAACATGCTGGTAGATCATGAAAATCAGTCAATGCTAATTACCGGAGAATCTGGTGCTGGTAAAACAGAGAATACCAAAAAAGTAACAAGTTATAATTATTATCAAACTAGAAAAGAAGCAGAATTTTGTAAATCATGCACACTGTCGCCATTTTCACTGAATAATAAGTTCCAAACATAAACCGGAATTATTCATACCCGCAACTGCTCAGATAAAATATCACATGTTATCGAATTGTTTTTTAAAAATTTGGTCGAAAGATTTTTCAAAAATATAATGCATGTTATTGCTACTTTAACTGAACAGTAACAGATACAAAAAAATCGTTGATTATTTCATGATTAAGATTTAAGGCAATTTTGAATTCCAAACATTCAGAACAGATACAGAATTTGCTCCATGCCATATTCAGGTCATTGCATATTTCGCAGTGGTTGGTGCATCGCAGAGTAAACAAAATCAAGGGGAGAAAAAAATCACTCTGGAAGATCAGATCGTGCAGACAAATCCAGTTTTGGAAGCGTTTGGTAATGCCAAAACTGTGCGTAATAACAACTCATCACGATTCGGCAAATTCATTCGTATTCATTTTTCAAGACAAGGAAAAGTTGCTTCCTGTGACATTGAACATTGTAAGCTTGTTTATTTACATTTAAAGGTTTCGTGATTCATTCATACAATTTAAAAACGGCATTAAGTTTGAGTATATGACTAATACTCCAAGTCCCTAAATTTATTTCCTCAGACAAAAACTTTAACAATTCGCATATGAGCATTTCAGATTTGCTAGAAAAATCTCGTGTAATTCGTCAAGCTCCTGGAGAACGATGCTATCATATTTTCTACCAAATCTTTTCCGATTTCAATCCAACTCTCAAGAAAGAACTCCAGCTCGATCAGCCACTTAAATCTTATTACTTTGTGGCGCAAGCCGAGTTGAGCATCGATGGTGTTAATGACAAAGAAGAGCACCAGTTGACAGATGAAGCTTTTGATATCCTCAATTTCTCACTAGAAGAGAAAATGAACTGCTACCGTCTGGTTGCAGCGATCATGCACATGGGTTGTATGAAATTCAAACAACGGCCACGTGAAGAGCAAGCAGAACCGGATGGTACCGACGAAGCCGAGAAAGCAGCGAACATGTATGGAATTGACACAGAGGAATTCTTGAAAGCCCTCACTAAACCACGTGTTAAAGTTGGTACGGAATGGGTCAGTAAAGGACAAAATGTGGATCAGGTAACCTGGGCTGTTGGTGCAATGGCAAAGGGAGTCTATGCCAGGATTTTCAAATGGCTTGTCGACAAATGTAATAAGACTCTGGATCAGAAAGGTCTCTCGCGTGACTACTTCATTGGAGTTTTAGATATTGCTGGATTTGAAATTTTCGACGTAAGTTAATTTGAATTTTCCACATTATTCAAAAAAATATGTTATTGAAAAACTGTTTAAGATATAAACATAAGAGACGAACGACATTTATGGAATAAGGCAATAAAAGTCCCGATGTGACTCTTAACAAACTGTCATTCTTTTCAAAATTGGGTGTAAGCATCACTGTTTGAAATTATAAAGATTTCGATATATGTAATCTAAATTCAACATGAGGTGTATTCATATCCGTTTTTTTTTTTTTCAGTTTAATTCATTCGAACAACTGTGGATCAATTTTGTAAATGAGAAACTACAACAGTTCTTCAACCATCACATGTTTGTGCTAGAACAGGAAGAGTACGAACGCGAAGGAATTCAGTGGACTTTTATCGATTTCGGCCTTGATTTGCAGGCCTGCATTGAACTCATAGAGAAACCTATGGGAATCATTTCAATGCTGGATGAAGAATGCATTGTACCCAAAGCCACTGACCTGACTTTAGCTCAAAAACTCGTCGACACTCATCTCGGCAAGCATCCCAACTTCGAGAAACCAAAACCACCGAAGGGTAAACAAAGCGAAGCACATTTTGCCATGAAGCATTATGCCGGTACTGTCCGCTATAACGTCATGAACTGGTTGGAGAAAAACAAGGATCCACTTAACGATACCGTTGTTTCTACCATGAAAGGATCTAAAACAAATAACCTTCTGCTGGAAATATGGCAGGACTATACAACGCAGGAAGAAGCTGCTGCCTCAAAAGGTTCTCTCACCTCTTTAGAATCATTCATCGTATTTATATATTTTTCGGAATTTAGAAGTTTCTATAAAAAAAGTTATAAAGTGTATCATGGTTCCTGGAATTCTAAATCCGAATAAGGATGGACACTAAACGACGATATCAAAATTAATGATATCAAATTACTTCAGTAAGGCTACCAAAATTGCCAGCTTACTCAATGCAGCACTTCTTTCCATGAAAAAGACTGATTAGTATCCGGGAAGAAGTTTGTAGTGTCATTCGGAAAAATCCATTCCTAAATCTTTGTTGTAAATATCGCCTTTAATTTTATCCGGAAAGGTTCACAGCACATGGCACTGTTTAAATAACGTCATCATTTTGCGGTTGGAACATTTAGACCATCACTAAATCCGTGTTAAACTCATCCCAGTTTCATGTTACTGTAACATGAAACTGGAATGAGTTACTGTAAGATGTCAAAATTGATTTGTGATGGCAGAAGTGATAAACATATTCTGCATGTGTTATATGACTCGAAAACTTCTACCAATCAGTTTTGCGAAAAAAAAATAGATTTCAGTAATCAATCTTATGTTTCAGATGGAGGCGGTGGAAAAAAGAAGGGTAAATCAGGATCGTTTTTGACAGTTTCTATGATGTACCGAGAATCACTGAACAGTTTAATGAGCATGCTGAACATGACGCATCCACATTTCATACGTTGTATCATCCCGAATGAAAAGAAGACTTCTGGACTTCTCGATGCTGCTCTGGTTCTAAACCAGCTTACTTGCAACGGTGTGTTGGAAGGTATTCGTATATGTCGTAAAGGTTTCCCCAATCGAAATTTACATGCTGATTTTAAGCAGCGTTACGCAGTTCTTGCTGCTAAAGAAGCAAAAAGTGAAGACGATCCAAAAAAGTCTGCTGAAGTGATGCTCAGTAAACTTGTGAATGACGGGGCATTAACGGAAGAGAATTTCCGTCTCGGCAAAACAAAAGTTTTCTTCAAAGCCGGTGTTTTGGCACATCTGGAAGACCTTCGAGACCAGAAACTTGGCGAAGCCCTTACTGGATTCCAAGCTAGGATTCGTTCCTACATAAATTTGGCCGAACGCCAACGACGCATGCAACAACGCCATGGTTTGTTGGTTTTGCAGCGGAACATTCGTGCATGGTGCGTGCTGCGTACCTGGGATTGGTTCCTCATTTATGGGAAAATCAAGCCCATGCTTAAATGCGGCAGAGAGGGCGAAGAAATTGAGAAAATGAATCAACAAATCAAAGAGCTGGAAGAAAATATAGCAAATGAAGAAAAAGCTCGTAAAGAATTGGAAAGCAATTCTACGAAACTGCTTGAAGAACGAAACAATGTTTTCAATGAACTAGAAGCAGCAAAGGCACAGCTATCTGACGTCGATGATCGTCTCAATAGACTCTCGACACTAAAAACAGATGTTGAAAAGCAAATTCATGTTAGTTTATTTCTTCCCAAGCAATATTGCTGTACTGAAAATATGTTAGAGATTTGTGAACTGGCTTATAGAAGATCATTGGAAAAATTCTGAAATTAAAAAAAGTCCGTATAATCAATTTTTATTTTCAAAAGTATTTGTTATTGCAGGAGCTGGAAGAACGTCTTGGAGACCAGGAAGATCGTAACTCTGACTTATCACGCTCAAAGAAAAAGATCGAAAATGACGTTGAAAATTTGAAAAAAACAATCGCAGAGTTGGAAACTCGATTGCAAAAAACAGATGCAGATAAGCAAAACCGTGAGCAACAGATTCGGACATTGCAAGATGAAATGCAGCATCAGGATGAAAATATTGCTAAACTGAACAAAGAGAAGAAGCATCAGGAAGAAATTAACCGGAAACTAATGGAAGATCTACAAGTTGAGGAAGACAAAGGAAACTACAATAACAAATTGAAGGGTAAATTAGAACAAAGTCTAGATGATCTTGAGGACAATTTGGAACGAGAGAAACGAGGACGTAACGAAATTGAAAAACAGAAACGCAAAATTGGGGGTGAATTGAAGGTTGCCCAAGAGAATATGGAAGAGATTGAAAGACAGAGACATGAAATTGAAAGTAATTTGAAGAAAAAGGAAAGCGAAGCCCAAGCAATTACAGCACGTTTGGAGGAAGAGCAAGATCTTGTTGGGAAGCTTAAGAAACAGGTCAACGAAACACAAAATCGCATAACAGAACTAGAAGAAGAACTGGAGAATGAACGGCAATCACGAAGTAAAGTGGAACGAGCAAAATCAGATTTGCAACGCGAACTAGAAGAATTGGGAGATCGTTTGGATGAACAAGGTGGTGCTACGGCTGCTCAGGTGGAAGTAAACAAGAAGCGTGAAGCAGAGTTGGCAAAACTTCGTCGTGATTTGGAAGAAGCTAACATGAATCATGAGAATCAACTTGCGGCAATTCGTAAGAAGCACAACGATGCAGTTGCGGAATTGGGTGATCAAATTGAACAGGCACAGAAGGCGAAAGCCAAGATTGAGAAAGACAAGATGCAAGCACAACGCGATGCTGAAGACTTCGTAGCACAAATTGATGGTGAAACAGCAGCAAGAATGAACAATGAAAAACTTGCAAAACAATATGAAATGCAGATTGCCGAATTGCAAACCAAATGCGACGAGCAAAATCGACAACTTCAGGAATTCACAACATTGAAGACAAGGCTTAATGGTGAAAATAGTGACCTCGGGAAACAAATTGAAGAAGCGGAGTCGCAGGTGAATGCAATGACGAGACTGAAGACTCAGCTGACATCTCAACTGGAAGAAGCTCGTCGTTCACTGGATGAAGAAGCGCGTGATCGTAACAATTTGGCAGCACAGATGAAAAATTATCAACATGAAATCGAGCAAGTTCGTGAATCGATGGAGGAAGAAATTGAAGCCAAAAGTGAGCTGATGAAGCAGTTGAGTCGCGCAAATGCTGAAATTCAGCAATGGCAAACACGTTTCGAAAGCGAAGGTTTATTGAAGGGCGATGAACTGGAAGAATCAAAGAAACGACAGATGCAGAAAATCAATGAACTCCAAGAAGCACTGGATGCGGCTAATTCAAAGATTAGTTCCTTGGAAAAAACGAAATCTCGTTTGGTTTCTGATCTTGATGATGCTCAGGTAATCTCCATTTCTCCTACAATAATACACAAAGTTTAGGTTTTTCTACAAAAACTTGTATATATGAAATTTTAGTTTTAGATTTTGGAAGCTACGCTTAATTATTTACTTAATTTTCATTCACATTTTGATTCGTAATTCCAGATGGACGTAGAGCGAGCCAACTCATATGCAAATCAGCTTGAGAAAAAGCAGAAAGGATTTGATAAAGTAATTGACGAATGGAAGAGGAAGACCGATGCCATAGCTATTGAAGTGGATAATGCACAACGAGAAGCTCGAAATGTGTCAACCGAATTGTTCAAATTGAAAAGTGAACAAGATGAAGTTCTGGAAACGATTGAAGGCTTGAGACGTGAAAACAAAGAGTTGGCGCAAGAAATTAAGGATCTCACAGATCAACTGGGTGAAGGTGGTCGTTCCGTATTTGAAATGCAGAAGATAATCCGTCGATTGGAGGTTGAAAAAGACGAGTTACAGCATGCTCTAGATGAAGCCGAAGCTGCTCTAGAAGCTGAAGAAAGTAAAGTGCTCCGAGCGCAGGTTGAGATTTCTCAAATAAGAGCTGAAATTGAAAAAAGAATCCAAGAAAAAGAAGAAGAATTCGAAAATACACGCAAAAATCATCAAAGAGCGATCGAATCTATGCAGGTGATCCGACTTCTTCCTCATTTAAAAAGCTAGAAGTTAAACAAGATTGAATTTAGAAGGAAAAATCTTGAAGGAAAGGTGAATTTCAGAAGATTTAAGCTGCAAGACAATTGTCTTAATTTCATTGTTCTTAATCTAATATTAATTAATAATATTAATATTAATCCTAATATTGTCTTAAGCATTCTGATTTTATTTTACTGTTTAGTTGGCGCTTTTAACTATATAACTTTGGGATGTTCTGCTATTTACATTACAGGAATTTGTTACTTTGTTGATAACTCAGATTTATAAAACTACAGGCGTCACTTGAAAATGAGACGAGAAGTAAGGCGGATTTGATGAGATTGAAGAAGAAATTGGAATCAGATATCAACGAATTGGAGATTGCGTTAGACCATGCAAATCAGGCGAACGCTGAAGCTCAGAAAAATGTGAAACGTTATCAAGATCAAATGAGAGAGCTACAGCAACAGGTTTAAATACTTAAAAAATCTCTTACAGAGTTTTCCACTGGTATTTCTCTTAAACTAAAGTGTATTTTCATGAAAACTTTGCTTCTTTTCGGAATTTTTTGAGAAACCGCCTTTCATCCCAGGTCGAAATCGAACAACGTAATCGGGAAGAGATTCGAGAGCAGTACTTGAATATGGAAAAGAAAGCGACTTTGCTGCAGTCGGAGAAGGAGGAGATGTCAGTTGCGATGGATCAAGCAGAACGAGCACGCAAGCAATCAGAACGTGATGCCAATGAAGCACATACCCAGTGTAATGAGTTATCTGCTCAAGCTGAATCGCTGAGCTCTGTAAAGAAAAAGCTCGAGACCGAACTTCTAGCAGTTCAAACCGATCTTGATGAAACTTTGAATGAGTACAAAGCTTCGGAAGAGCGCTGCAAAGCAGCAAGCAGTGATGCTGCACGACTTGCCGAACAGTTGCGACAAGAACAAGAAAATTCATTACAGAATGACCGTATAAGAAAGGCTTTAGAATCTCAGTTGAAGGAGATGCAGGTATTTTCAGATCATTCAAAATTTTAGTCTACTTTTTGTCATTTAAAAGCTGAAGAAAACTGTAAAACTGGATATATTGTATTTCATACTGTATTTCAAGTAATTAGAGTTGCTTGAAATTGGCATTGTTTTGTAGCAGTCACTCTAACTTTTAGGCACGCCTGGATGAAGCGGAAGCCGCTGCTCTTAAAGGTGGCAAGAAGGTCATTGCGAAACTGGAATCTCGTATTCGTGAGCTTGAAAGCGAACTTGACGGGGAACAGCGACGATATCAGGAGACAAATAAAAGTCTCACTAAACATGAAAGACGCATCCGAGAACTTCAATTTCAGGTTGTTCAGAATTTATTTCGCAGTTACTTTGATTTGGCATTTTCCTGAATGCGGTAAGACGGCACTTGCATTCCTCCATTTCGATTAATTACAGGTGGATGAAGATAGAAAGAATGCCGAAAGAACGAGAGATCTCATCGAAAAGCTGCAGAACAAGCTTAAATCGCAAAAGAAGCAAATTGAAGAAGCCGTGAGTGCAAATCATTTTTTTTAATAATTTCAACTTGTTTTAATGCTCAGTTTTCACATTCTCTGTGTAAAAGGATTTTGGAAGATCATGCTTCAACAAATTAATTTAATCATTCGTGCCTTGCACATTGCGTCTATACTTATATCAACTTCTATATTTTCGGGTGGAATTTCAGGAGGAGCTAGCAAATGTGAACCTACAAAAATTCCGCCAAATACAGCATCAGTTAGACGACGCAGAAGAGCGTGCCGATCATGCCGAAAATTCGCTTTCTAAAATGCGAGCCAAAACTCGCAGCGGTACAACAGCTTCGCCAGGAGTACAAATCTCCCAGTCATCTGTTTTTCGCTCCTCATCACGCGCACAGTTTTAGTGGCCTAGATTAATTATTATTATTATTGCGTCCAATATGCAGATTTTTTTCCGTTCTGGTCCGTACTAGTGACATTTTGCCCCATAATAAACGTTAATTATGACTTTTTCGGGTATTTGTCAGTTTTCATTTACAAAAACATTATTATAAAGTATCATGAAAATTGCTCTCAAACACAATAATGCATGGTTGCTACAAAAGCAAAATTGCGAAATTTTTTGTTCATTGCTAACCGTCTTCAAAATTATTATCTCAAAAATTTCTGATCACAAACTGTAGACGCAAACGTTTGTTCATAGACGCAAACGCTCTCGGCTGGTGGAATGACGGAATTCTTCAAAACCCTATTCTGCTATTTATCGCTGTAATGAATTCGTTGAGTAAATTAAGCTGCATAATTATTTCATTGTTTAATACAATCAAGTTCTTAAATATTACATCTTGAACTGTAAAACCTTGCTAAGGAACCAGTTTTTCCATTTTTTCAAGAAATTATAAAGAGTAAAGCGAGGAAATCCTAAACATACCGGAGAACTTTTCACCTAACACGCCCGCACAGTACACTTTTAATTCATACCAGCAATTCCTAAGAAAAAATCGAAAGCAGAGTGCGTAAACATTTTCAATCTATTCAATATCATAACCGAGAAAACGTGTCTTAAGTTTCTGCAAATCCAATAATTAGTAATTGGTATTCAATTGACATGATTACGACAGGTTTCTGACTGTTTGATTGCCCTTTCTGTTCTATCAAGAGGAAAAATCTATCAGAAGCCCAATCATAGCATCTCATCCTTTCAGCGCGAAACTGACACAGAATCTTTTAAGTTCATTAATTTTCTGTTAGCAGTTGTCCCTGCTACAACTCCTTTTTTTTTTCTGATTCCAGCAGCCCTCATTTCACTTGTAAAACCTGTGCAGTGAAGCAAGTAAAAAAGATTTATTAAATATATTGTAAATCGCAATGATTATTTGCACATCCCTAAATTAACGAAACGAATGTTAGCAAAATCAACATGAAGACCAGTGATTAGCAAGTTATCTGGAAATACTGGTACTTCTTATAGTTTGGTACTTCTTATGATACTGGTACTTCTTATGAATTAAATCTAATCACCACCGAATGGAGACGGATTATGGTCCTGTTGGTTACGACCTGCTCGATCTGCTGCGACAGCCTGAATAATTCATCACTTATCTGTTTACATGGAGCAAAAAAGAAACAAATCCAATCACAACACTTCATTTGAAAGAAATTCTAGTTAAAAAAATGATAACCTTTTCCCAGTCTGTAAGTCGACCCTTCTGCGCATTATTGTCCAAACCTATATTATCATTTGATTTACTGCTCCAACTTAGTAACCAAAAACAGATCATCCACAGCATATAAATGTTTAGTTAAAATCATGAAAGTAGTCCAGAAGTTTGATACCACAGAAACGATGTCACATTTCAACTGCTTCTACTGAACTCCTAACACGACTAAATACAATAGCTAGTTACTAGTCATATTTCGACTATGAGAAATGCATACTTTTCTGAAACTTTCGGCGCTCCTTTATAGAATTCGGTGGAAGATCCCACGACAGTCCACTACTCCCTAAAAGATATTAATAAATGAATAATTTATCAGGATACTTTCCTAGTAGCTTTGAACCAAATTCGATAAAATGTTTATTAAGAATGGGAGCGAGAAAACTTTAATTAATAAAACCATTTTTTATTTCGACCAATTCTTTGCAAATCTAAATGATAAAGTATCAGAAACGCATTAGTGGATTTTCCATCCACTGAACTTCAACTTTTTTAGTGGATAAGCTTACACTGAATTTAAATGACATAATAAGTTACCCTCTTCACACGAATTTTGCGGTGTCTTATTTTTATCACTTGCAAAAGCACTGAATTCATTTTCGGCACCAAAATCAGTGTGTGGCCATTCTTTCGCTGCTTGAGAACTCTTGCCTTGGAATCTAAATGGAAATAGCAAAATAATAAAATTCAAATGACAAGGAAAAGATACCGAAACCATGTCAACTCTACACAATAAGTGGATCGAGATGAAACATTTACTGTCAAAGTTGTAACCTCTAACACAGAGTGTGTCTTTTCTCAATAATATCAAAAGAATTTGTTTAATAAATAGATCTTTTCAATCAGCATCAGTGAATTGCAGAATGACTAGTAAACATTAATTTGCAATTCCAAAAATTCCAACAACCTGATTCCGCCTTTTCGCATATGATCCGTCTTTGGAGAACGGTAATTTGTTCCACGTGCGCCTGGTCGAGCTCCTGAGTTTTTATTGGAGAAGTTGACACCTTCAAAATTACCAGCCTCCGTATTCTCAGGTCTTACAGCAACGTTGTCTCCAGCGCTCTGGAGATTAATGTTCGGCATTGTCATTGGGAACATTACCGGAAACGCCATTGGCATCATTACAGGCATCGCCATTGGAAAAGTTGGACGATAGACAGCTGGCCTGGAATAATCCAAAACGTACAAAATACCAATCTTTTTCGCTTACTCTCTGTGCAAAGAATCAAAAGTCATCAGAGATTTAAAATTTAAGTTTTGGCAACTATTTGTTTATGTTATCTCTAATTCATATATCCAAACAGCAGTTTCCGTCCCATCTAGAGTGTACTGACTCTACAATTCAAATCACAGCTACAAATCAAAGTCATACCAGAAATTTTGGGGTTGTTGTGCCAACTCACGACTGGCAATACTTAATGTTTCCATCATCATCGATGTCATCAATTGTCGCTGACAGGTTTCAGTGACCAACTTTTTACACGATGAAATCACTTCAGCCTCCTGCATATTGCCAATCGTAGCTTCTCTGCCATTTATTGCTAGAAAAACGAGATACTTCAGTCACAATCACATTAGTGACCATAAGAGTGATGTGCAAATCTGATGGACACAGAATCTTGTTTCAATTTTACGAAAAAACTACGTTGTTCATTGGATGTGCCATCTATTCGATTCGGCATGAAAAGAGGTTCCACTAAATCAACCGTATATACGTCACGCAGCGCATTTCCCTTGATAGTCATTTCGCAGTTTGTTCCTTTAATGAGGTCCTACAAATAAATTACTTCAGTTTATAAAAACATCGTAATCTTCATAGTGGTTTTATATATGAAGAATGTAAGAAAGAGCAAAATTGCAGGCATGTGGTGGTAAAATTGAGTAGAAATATCCAACAAAAACCGACTTTAGCATGAAGCATGCTTGTTTTATCTTCGCGACAATGTATCATTGCTGCTGGGAGATTTCTGACTGGGTTGGACTGTAATATTCAAAATTATTAAAATAAAAAGATCAGTATCTGAAACTATTCAAAACTATTAGAGTAAAAAGATCAATATCTGAAAACCTAAGACAAAATATTTGACAATTAATACATTGAAACCAATAATATCCTAACTTAATTAGTAGGTTAGTAGGTTCGATCCAGGAAAAGAAATACTAACTATTTCCATGCTGGAGATGTCAAGGACATCACTAGCCAACACCCATTTGAACCAGCCAAAATCCACCAAAAAAGCTGAGACTCTGAAGAAAACTATTCCTTATAGACATCCAATTACAAATGTGAACACCAATTCAAACTCCACCCACTTATTCCAAAATATCCCTCATTTGCATCATATCATACAGATACCTCTTCGTTCGAGCATCGTACTGAGCTGGAACAGCACGAAAGAGAGAGTTGTAAACATTGTCAGCCCGAGAACGTACAATACACGGTGTCTCTCGCATTTGAATATCTTCACCTCTTTGATTTATGGGCGGGAAACGCGACAGTCTATCCCCTACTTCCCTCAGTGCCTAAAATCATTTTATGATCGCTAAAAGCTGTTAAACTTATACAATCACAAATTGATTCACATTGGTAATTTATATTCAACAATGCGTTTGTTAAAAAAAATCTCAACAGCGAAATGATCATTGCAAGGAATGTCTCGAATAACAAACATATCCTTGGCGCGCAAGTAGTGCATTATTGACAAAAATGGATTTTAGCACTTCTCTCTTTAATCAAATTAAACAAATACAATCCAGTAATTAACTTCCAGTATTCAATAAATTAAAATAAATTGTTTTTCCATAATTTCCGTTTCTCATATACTTTGATGAAATCGCAAGTTCTTTCTTAAGATTACAGGAATATCTTAAAACTTACTTTTTCAACATCAGCAAGAATTTTCTTATTGATAACCCAGAAAGTGCTCATCACACGATCTGTTTTGTCAAATCGAACAGATAGTGTTATCGGTAGCATTTCAGGTATGTAATGCAAGAACGCTCTCTGATTAAACAGAGTCCCCACCTAAAATAGGTTGAGAAACTGCGAAATAATAGTATCGTGAAGGGTTGAACAGTTGGAAGATCACAAAGTAGCTGTTCAGTAGAGTTCTTTGCTAAACTTTTGCATTTTGTTAAGATCAAAGCAAGACTTGAAAAAATTACCTTGGCTTTGTCACGTCCCGCGACGATTTCTGGAGCTGTGTATATAGCTAGGAAAAAAATACTGTTTAGACAGATGTTATTGTGAATAAAAAAATTTACTAAAATCCTGAAAATCTTTTAAAAAAAAAATAAATAAAAGTTAAAAAAAAATTAAAATATTTGCCACGTTTCTCTTTTTTTGGAATTGCGAAATTTCTTGTCCCTGGAAATGATAATGCGCTGTTGGTATTTGTTTTCAGTCCGGCCTAAAAAAATTTTTTTTTCAATTCAACATAACTTCACTATTGCTTGCCAAAATCTTTTGAAAATGGAGCATTTGGAAATTATGAAAATTCTTACCTGAGTGCAGGGATTATGGTAAGACGACTCACTGCTTGAGCTGGAGCTATAGCTAACATCGGTCTGCCCAGCTTGTATATGTCCTGCATGTTTTTCGGTTGCCCAATGAGGCTCGAATGTAAAATCTTAAAAATAGAAAATCGGGAAGACGAAAATAGATATTATGATTGTAAGAATAATCTGTGTTCATGATTAAGATAACTGTATGTGATCGAATTTTACGAATTTGTGTTTGCAAAAGATTAAAAATTGAAGATGTCGTTCAAATTATTTGCAAAGAAAACAAAGAGGTAAGTGTATGGATGAAACGTTTGATTATGACGAAAACTTTGCTTCTATCTCATGGAGCCAATGTAAAACCAAGACCACCACCCACAAACATTCATGAAGATCTAATGATATTGGGTCCCTGAACCTCATTCAATGCATATATTTCCACATAAAACATTTCCACTTTCAAAAATTTAAAAATATTTGCAATCTTTTTGCACTCAAACAGAAAGACCACTTTTTTTACAAAACATCTGTCTTACCACTATTGCCAGGACCAATTTTCACTTTCTCGAGAATAATATCTTGAAGATTCTCATAACGTCCTTCAATCTCTATCGAAAATCGACCACGAACGAATCCCATTACCACTAGGGATTTCAATGCAATTTCTAGAAAATCCCAGCTTTAGAAAAGTCAATTGTGCCTACTGTGTTCTATAATCACCGTTTTTTATATAGTGCATGTACAGTGAAATAAAATCGTGCTTGCATTATATCATAATTTCGTTGATTCTTGCCGTTCTTGTCGAAACTTACCTACATTACACTTGCATTTGTACCCAACATAACTCTTGTATAAGCTTAGATCTTCCAGAAGTGGTACCAGTACAGGGCAAACACAATTAAACACTCCAAATTCCAATAATTCCGATGGATATTCATAAATTTCACCAAGCTCTACTTCACACTGAATGCCTTTATCAATAAGATGAACCTGTAATGCTACCACACTTCATTTTTTGATTCAAAGGTTTTTTGAAATTTGAAACAAAACCGTCAGTTCAATAACTTTTTGGATTACCGCGTATATTTCAGGCATGGGTCGTCGAATGATAAACGCTCTTTCAAAGGAACCTTTCACCTTTACGATATAAACTTCACCTAAAAATTCAAATGTTTATACTACTTCGTACTTCTAGGATTGCATTTTAAAACTCTAACTTTTCGAAAATGGTTGTTATTCTGATTTAATTCCGCTCAGAGTGAATGCAAAATATATACAGGAATAAGTTAGGAAGGCGCCACTTTTTTTTCTTCCTAGTGGGTCATTTTTTTTGGATGAAAGTTAAAATTACCCGATTTCACTCCTGAGAAAAGCGTGACTTCCTCTAAGAGAGGTGCTAAATCTCGAATCTTGGCATTAATTTTTTCCCACTCCCTTTGCCAAGTGGTTAATTTGACAAAAATCAGCGCTTCGCTTCCAGCCACGGTAACATGACTGATTTCACCTTCGAAATCCGGCACCGTAAACGGCAAAGACATTACAACCATTCTTAACTGCTTCTCTGAAAGAACTGCGTGGAAGATTGCAGCAAAATCGAGATCTCTCAGGAAAGTAAAAAAAAGAATATTTGTGTAGTTACGTTCCCGGCCATACATACCCAGTATTATGACCGATAAGTGTCTCACTCGTCACTTCTCAATTTCTCTACCATCACACCCGTCGCCCACATCTCCTTATATCCTTATCTTATAGGGCAGATGATAATCCCTTTCCTCCAACAGAATCACGACAATCCAGAATTTAATGGGAAGTGAGGGGTCTTCCAAAAACAAAAAACAGCAAAAAAGGGGACTCCCAAAATGCAATTTTTATACAAAAGAACCAATATCAGAGATTCAAATTATTTTTTTAAGCTTTTGGTAACCCATTGAGATCTACATCAATCTACATGAAGGAACCAAAAAATGCGTACTTCCGAGGTTTTTCTTTTAATTTATATTGAAACGGAATTAAAATGATACGAAACGCTCCCCCTTACTCTACAATCGCGCAAACAATTCCCGACGTACGCAAAAAGAAAAAGAGAACCAACCGCACTCCAACGACGCAAAACCCCAAACTAAGAAATGAACCTCTACCACTCAATTTTTAGGCCAAGTGTTAACCTACAATCTCGCTGTACGCAACATCCAGTGCACAACACTTTACCGGAGCTTCATCTGACAAGCGCGGCAATTTGAATTTTTCCTGAGATTAGGGCACTAATAGGTAATGATGCAATAAGTGATCCTCAGTAGTACTCCATACTCTTTATCATCCTCTATTGTGGCCATTCTGAAAATCTCGAGAACCATCTGAAGCTTACTTAGTGATACTACGTGCATATCGTTCGTTCCGCAGTTCCTAAGTTTTTATCGTCCTATTTCTGGCAATATCGCCAGTGATTGAAGGTTATTTTTGCTTTTGTTCGCATTTCGCTTATTCTTATGACAATACTTTTTGTACATTGTAGAAACATATTTAATGAATAATGAAATGGTTTTTGCTTGACACTTTAAGAACTCATTTGTAGTTGGCAAAATCTTTGATGTAAAAGTTATAAAGTTTCCGTTGTGGAAGTTTTATTTGTAAGTGTTTACAAATCTTTCTCAAAATGATAATCGAGAAAAAAATAAAAATGCCTCGATCATGTAGTGACAAATACCGTGAAGAAAAATTGCAGGAGTAGTATTTGCGATAACTAATGAAGCATAGCTTGAGCAACGTTGAGGTACGCAGTGATCTGGAAACAAACATTGCTATTTGGTTGCCTTTGCCATAATCTATCTTTACACTAATTTGAAGGTAGCAGTAAAGACCAATAGTATCAATAATACACTGTTATGGAATGTTTCAGAAACTTCAATCAAGTCAAGGAAATACGTTGTAATAAAAGAAGCATGTTAATTGGAGACATTTGAAAATATTGACGAAGTGTTATTTGCATTCTCGTCATGTCATTGTCATGATAGCTGGATAACTTGAAATGAAAATAATTAAGAAATATATTTCTATAGCAATCTAAAATGAAGAACTGACAGGTAAGAATCTGACAAACAAATTTTATTACGAAAATTTAGTCGATAAATTCTTTGGAAAGATATTGAACGATCTACAAATCATGTTTAGACGGATTCATACCCTGTGTTTCCTTTTTGATTGATAATACCAGGAGTATAATTTGATATAACTTACGAAAAAGAACCTTTTCATATGGTAATCACCTTTTCAAAGTTGGGAAACTTATCACGCTTGTTTTTAGTCTTTGTGTTTAGCAATGATGTCCAACGATTACCATTGGTAGAGAAAGTCAATTAATAACCTCGACAACCACTGCAACCTCGGATATAAGTTTTCATTACCGTTTTGGATATAACCAACCACAACCGTTTCAATTGCTATAGAAATATATTCCTTAATTATATTTGGACAACTCAGGCTATCCCTTCATAAATCCAACTCTTGTAGATATCAGCACACATACATAGAAATTTTATACCTTTTTTTACATCTTTTGCCTTTCCTCGATTGAATCTTTTACTCAGTTCTTTACTTTCATCATAATTTGATATAACTTCTTCATGCTTCAGGTGCTTTCTGTTGGCTATATATATATAATTGGTTCTAAAAATACTCATGAAGTACAGTTATATCAGCGAAAGGGTTTGGATCCCTTTTTCCAATCCATTGAATGATGTTGGCCCAAAAAAGTGATCTTGTGAATGTGATAACGGTAACTTTTTCATCAATTAATTAGCTAGTTTATTTATTAATTTTTGAAAAGACCTTTAAAATGGACACTGACTTTCATGAAGCAACTTCTTGAGCATATCTAAAGTTTTGAATTCGTGTTTTTTCATACATTAATCCCAAGCTAGTATACACAGACCTACAGATCACTTATCTTCAACTCTTCATAACGCATCCTCCGAGTTAAGGTATTGAGTTACTCCAAAAATTCCCCTCAATGTACTCATTAATTATGTCTAATCATGACGTAAAAAACGCTCGACAAGAGAAACTGGATGAATTTTGAATATGCAAGATAGTTAGTCATCATCGGTATTTGTAATAGTCTACGTCTCGAAAAACTGATTCTGAAAATAATTTCTTTCTTCTAATACATTAAGAATAATCGATCTTTGAAATGAATATCTAATGTAAACCGGTTGATTAGATGAAAATTACCTTCATACAAAGCTTTAAAAAATAAAAGGCAAAGTGGTACTTACAGAAGTAAAATAGGATGCAGTAGGTTTGTACTATCTATTACTATATACTTTCAACTTATTTAGTGTAGCATTTCATTTTTTTTTTTTGTAAACTAATGGGCCTTACATCATAACTGAAAATGTGACAAGAGATTCCTGGCTTTTTAGATATCAGTGTCCAAGTTGAATCTTTGGAGATGGAAAGAGATTGCGGGGTTTTCAGAGCTTTGAACCTTTTGAAATTAATCGAAAATTTCAAATCCTCTAACACTTCTGTAGGAAAATTTATTTTGAAGAATTTGACGTGTAATAGCCATTTATTTTAAAGAGTTTAAAGTAATATCCGTACTTAAAAGACCTGAATTTACAGAGCAACGCGAAGAAAAAAAAACAAATGATAATATGTGATAATCTCGCATGGATGTACCGCCTTCTCTGCTGCAGTTCGTGAAAAACGTTCCACTCGAAACAATGAGGTCTAGTTTTGTACATTTCGTATGAGTGACCACTTCTGTCTTTTAATTCCATATACTCTCGTTTACTATCTGTATATATTCATTTCAGTTTTTACAGTAAATTTATTAATGTAACAGTAAAATCAAAACAACGACAGGAAATTTAGAATTAGAGAACAATGACCAAAAATCAAAACTTTTGCATTAGGTTAAGACTCAGTACAATGCATTTAAGCCTATCCACAATGACCATTACTGCTTAGCAGCCGATATTCTACATCAAAATTAATAATCTGTCAAGCAATCTATCAAATATCAACAATTCATATAAACTCAAATCCAGCATATGTACACTCAAACCTTCCAAGATTTTCCCTAGTCACTTATTGAAATTGTTTCATATGATTTAACAATGTGTACCTGAAAAAAATTAATCCTCATTACGCACCGTCTAACTGCTCACACTTAGAAAGCCATATACAATTCATTTATAAAATATCTTGAATAATAACACACTAAAATACTCCGAAAACTGCAAAAGCTAGACTAAATCGGAAACATAACACCAGCAAATAATGAAGCTTTTTTTGAAATAAACTGGAATAAATAAATATATCTGCAGGAAAATCAGAAAGATGCATATTCTGCCACTCATCCAGCATGATTTCAACACCGGTTCTCGCATTAATTGCAATTTTAAGAATATTAATTATTACGAACAGAATCAACTGCTATTGGACAACAAACATTTTTAGAATAATCATACGAAGTACTATTCTGGAACAACTATTATGCAGAAACATTTAGGGACACCAAACTGTCCACGAAGTAGAAAAGTTTCCAAACACGTAAAGGAACAAATAACAAATTCAAAAAAAGAAAAAACCCCGAACTTGAAAAAAATATTAAAAATAGCATGGAAAAATATTGAAAAAAACTACCGGATGAGGGAAACAATTTTCATGACACAAAAACCCTTACAGTTTTCTTTTTTTTAAAATCTCACATACCATTAGAGAACAAAACATGTGAACTTAAAAATGAACTAAAACTGGTACAAATAATAAATATTTAGCGAGTTAAACAAGCTTTCGGATAAAAAATTAAGGAGGTTCTAAAACAAGCTATATTCTTCCTAGGTTAGGCAGTTATAGACTCCTATCAGTGCTAGAAAACACAAAAAATTAAACTACTACAACGAACATATTAAGTGAACGACCGGTAAAATTAACCCATTTAGCTTCTGGGAAAATGTAAAAAAATGCAAGAAGAGGCTCGACAAAGGACAAATGAGGCACCTATCAAAAATCAAACCAAAGAGCCTAAAACCAAAAACTCAACAAATTATGGAGACATGCTTGAGTTAAAATTCAAGGACGATTTCAGGTCTTTTCAACGGACATATGGATCCATTCCTGTACTGCACATAAAAATAACATAGAAATGAAATGCTCGAAAATAAGAGAGGAGTAGTAGTTCAACAACACATAAAAAACTGCACACCAAACAGATTCCTATATGGCTCAGTTTTTTATGCAGATTTACTCGAGACAGTTAATTATAACAGCGATTAGAAACAATGTTTCCGCTTAGAAGCTTCTTTGCTTGACAACGAAAAATAAAATAAATTCCAAAAAAAAGAAAGTAACAAAAAAGAAAATTTGAATAATGTTCAGCAACCGTTCAGTGTTTCAAACAGCTGCTGTTTCTTCTTTCTGTTGAGTTGCATGTAGAGGCTCAGTAGGAGCTTGCTGATATTTCGTCTTATACGGAAACAAACTATACATGAAAATGGCCCCAATGACAAATACAGTACCAACATGAAATAGAACAGCTGGACGGAACTGAAAAAGCAATGCAGATGCAATGCAAGCTACAATGATGGCAATAGATGCGGCAAATGCCTTCAGAATATTATCGGCGTATTTTATGACAACAGCAACAGTGATACCACCGATAGACGACAGAATAATCGGACACCATACCGCGATATCAAAACCAACGAACATACCTCGTTCTAACACCTTCCTGCTATCCTGGATCTGAAAATGCAAAGATGGATTAGGAAATTTTCTAAGCAAAAACTGAATTTTAACAAATTCCAAATTTTAGCAAATTCAAGCATGAAGAAAACGCTTCTATGTTGCATTATCATCTATTCTGAACACGATAGCAAATAAAATTCTATTTTTAGCAAACCTAAGAAGTTAAGAAAACGGAAACTTACGAAAACATTAGCTAAAGCAACAGGGAGTGAGATAATTGCGAGTTGCACATTTCGTATCCATACTGATACATCCGAGTCCTTCAATATTTTCTCCAAATATATACCAGAAAATCCTGTAAAAATTTTTACTACAGACGGTCACTTTTCTTGATACATAAAAACAAATTTATGCCCTATAAAAGAAGTGGAAGCACCTCAAACAAGGACCAATCACATATACAAACCACTAGTTTCAGTAAAATTGGTTTTAAGGGTTATAATGTCTTAGAAACACAGAGAGAAAAAGAAATTTGGAAATCATCCGCTGTAACGATTACAAATTCTGTACAAACGATTTTTGATTTGCTTACCTGATAAAACACAGGCAACTAAAACTGCAGTGAAACCGTTGATTGGGTTTTGTTCCACAATATGTTTGTAAGGTGTTTCCAATTTCGTAGTTTTGGAACTGTCATCTCGAATTGATGTTATGTTTTCTTTCATTATCTTCATATTGGTCCTTTGATCATTCTCAAAAAATAATTTTTTTGATGTTACTGCAATTACATAGGCCTAGAGTCAACAAAGGCTCAGGTTTGAGCAACTGGAACAGAAACTACAAAAACAACAAGACATAAAAGATTTGACTCACAATCATAAAGCAGTGAAAACTAAAGAACAAAAAAACTTACCAACTGAACCAATGCAATTCCTCCAAAAAGCAAAACAAGTGCTAACCACTGAAGCATGGAAAGACGTCTTCGAAGGATGGTTACAGTGAAAAGTGCTGTCGTAAGAATCTTAAGCTGGTAAGTTACCTAAATTACTCAATTTATTAATTTCAATCATAATTTTATAGGACAGATATTCTTTCTTTTATACACAACATGTGATTTGGATATTCACTATGATGAAGACGTACAGAAAGAAACAGGACTACATGCTAACCACTAAATTCAACATAAACTACTTCCGTTACAGCCTTTGTAATATTATTAATAAAATTAAACCTAGAAAAATATCTCAGATGAGTGTTTTAAAAATACAAACAACAACATCAAACTATAACTTCACTATGTCAAACAATCAAGGTACTTCAAGGACGTACCATATAAGTTGCTGCAGGTAAATTAGATACGGCAATATAAAGCAGATTGTTTTGAATAACATATATCACAGCTGGCACGCATACTTTCAAAGTATCAATCGGCTGCTTGATTATATCCTTATACATTACTTTCAAACATCTGGAAATAAATCACAATATTGACACTGATCTATATAGAATATAATCGTGATCATTCTTTAGGAATTCGAGAATGTTGCGAGCACCTCTATGGACAGTTAGCAAAGAAGAAAATACAGAAAGACGCTAACGGTGATTATATTGAAATCTATTACCGACTGAGCTATTATGCATATCAGTTATCACCCCTTATGGTAAACACTTATTATAAATGATCACTTCACATTTTTCCCTTAATTAATTAATCTTCACTAACACAACAATACCTTACTTCAAAGTCCTTAGCCAAACAGTCCACTTCAATTTTGTGAGTTAAATTTCTCCGGAGACTATTAGTAAATGCCAACATCAAAATAGTAATGATAGTATCCACTTAAACCTTATCAAACTCTTTTCTTGGACGGTAAGGAACAGGATGCAGATAATCAATTTGATAACTTCTGCAAAAAAAATTGCCACTGTCGACAGAAACATTTCACGCGGTCGGGTTCGCACATACCGCATAACTAGTACTTGTGATGCATTTTGAATCACAAGAACTATTAAACTCACATACTTTATTGCTGTATCTGAAAATAAATAAAACAACCGGCTCAGAGAAACAAACAACAGTTGGATTCCTTTATGTTCAAAGGGTATCAGATATAAAATATCCAAACATCAATTGCTTCCGTAAGTTCTTTCAAAAATGTTCAAGAAATTACCCTTTTTAACTGCATTAGCATATTTCCTGATCCAAATTCTTCCATTGTCTTGTCTCCCATCACCATCACAAGATGACATCCTTCCTGTTTATGACAAAATAAATTAAAACTTTTAAGAAATTGAAATTCCAGAATTTTCGTACTAAGCGTGTACACGATACAGTTATAATCAGCACTAGCCGCTGCAACTACTGCGATTCGACTTCATACAACCAAGAACTTCTCGATAAGGGAATTCCACAACTTCCTCATACAAATTGATTCCAGCAGTTAAATCATGCTATTTTATTCTTAATAGTCAAGATACCAATGAAAAAGAAAAAACTGCCCGACTAAACAAACCAGTATTATCTGAAATTTCTAGAAGCTTTTTAGAAGTCCTACCGTACTTTCTATTGAGCATGACACTATGATCAGAAGTCTTGTTTGAATTTCTTGGAAAAAAGTTCAATATAAAGTGACCAACTAGTAACGCAATCGCATTCAAACAGATGAAATCCACATAACTGTAGAAATGCCTCTGAAGTTTTGGAAAGGGATTTGGAATACCAAAGAAGAAATAATGTGTTATCAGTTGCAGACATCAGAAGTTTCAATGATATAAAAAATGGTCGATCACACCGACACCGACCACCACAAAAAGACATCACACACACATGAATAGCACTTATGCACTTTCATCTTGTAGGCGGGTCACTCAGTTACTGTACAAAGCAAGACAGCCCATAGCAATAAACGACCGAATACGTCGCTTCTCCATCTATTCATTTGCTTCATTGCTTCCATAGTGCAGTAACATCGGCACCCCTTCTTCTAATGGTTGCAAAAGGCTTACAAAAGAGCTCGACACACCCACCTAAACGCTAAACCCGTCATGCAAATTTAGGACAAATTTAGGTCATGCAAATTTAGAATTTAGGACAATTTATCAGTCTTCAATTGAGCAAGCATGACGCGCCATCTCATGCTCACGATAATTAGTTCCCACAAAAAAACTTATAATTAACAAAAATTCTCCCAACTATTTTGTCATTTGAAACATAACATTCGTGAGTGACTTGTTACTTATATATTATAAAATTAAAACTACCTCTAATCCTGTTACGATTGTGCAATACAACCACTAGAAGACAACTCATTTGAAAGTATTTCCATTGTCCATTTGGAAGTAACATTTCGCAATACACAATGCAGCAAAATGCGATTTCGATTTATTTCAACTTGTCAAAGTGTACAATATTCCCAAAAAATTACAATAAAATGAGCATGTAGAGAACAACAAACAATGATATCTTTAATACAAACACAGAAATTTCCAACATTTCAATCAGGAATCACATAAATACATCCGATATATTGCTTCATGTTCACGGCAATCAAATTCCGGTACGAAATTTACTTTCACAACTGATGAAAATCCTTCTGATAATTTCGGTTCCTCAAATATAATATTCATAAATGACTAGCTATTCTAATAATCAAAAAAAAAAAAAATTTCTATTTTAATTTATACTAAAATTCATATCAATGAATAAAAATGAAAATCTACTTGTCGTGCATCCTCGTCCGCATTTTCCAGCACAAAGACAGCGATATATCTCAACATATGAATCCCTTCTCCCTCCCAGAAATGGGGATTTATCTAAGCAGCAGGAAGCGATGTAAATTCATTCAAAGAACTGAAAGTGTACTTCAAAGTTTTTTTTGTAATTATGAAGTGCCATTCGGCCAATTTCAACATGTTTTTCATCGGTACCAACGATAACACGATATTTGCAATTATGTGATGCTTGTTCTAATGTACATTTGAATAAAAAGCACCTCGAACCAGCCCCAAATGATTTAGCAAGGTTGATATATCGTTTCCTTAAGTTCAGCAAAATAATGTAAAGGATAGCAGCAAAGCATTTGAATATAATATTGATATGTCACAGCAAAATCCTATTTTATATGAGCCAGTTCCTTAATTTAATTCTAAAAAACACTCAAACATATTTTATGAGATCAGACGAACTCTAATCATGCAATTATTTATGCCAAAAAAGTTTTAAAATCGTACTAAACATCTACACTAGTAGTAGTGTCTAATTCATATAATTTGTCAATAATTTTAAATAATTGTCCATATGATCCTGTTATCCTATTGCGCAGTGAGGACAGCCCAGAAAAAGTAACAAATATAAGCGAGATGAAACCTCGATTCTCTGTTAGCATTAGTATTGTCAACAATAACATTTTGTTGCCGCTTCAAAAGAATTTCTGCGTGCTCGACACATTTCTGCCAAGTTTTTAATGTGTCTCGATTCACTATACCATATCCATATTCTGCAGCTAATTTTTGAGCTAAACTACTTTTACCACATCCGGGATAGCCAACGAATATAAGCACTTCCAAACCATTACCTGGTATCGGGGTATTTTCTGAAACGATGTATGGAAAATTATGTCTTTAAAAAGAATCGGATTTCCAGCGACTTCACAAAAAAACAAAAATGTAGGAAATAGCAACACAACAGTGCAGCTTACAACTAAAAGAAAAACGATCAAACCAGTAACGGAACTCTAAACATATCAGCAACACTGCTGTTGTACAGATAAAATATCGTTGACGCAGCTTTTTATAATATCAAGTAAAGAAATGTCTCGGCTTATATAATACTTTAAGAAGGAACAATCTAGTAAGGGCATACCTGGATCAAATAAGCTAACTTTCTCATCCAACAGAGATGATGATGAAAAAAACGGTAAAGTAAAATCTTCAACTTCCATCTGCTTCAAGAAATATTGTTCTGGTGTGAAGAAGTTAATACCAAAATTCAAAGCAAATAAACGGTCAGCAGCTGAATGATCTTTTTTCTTCCGAATCTTCAAATAAGTTGGGTACAAAATAATAACTTCCTTTCATAAGTTAGCACATTGGTTCACTGATGAAAAGTGAAAATAAGATTGACGAGCAATGAAATGAACAGTTACATGATGAGTCCAAAAATAAACGATATAGGAGATAACAGAGAAATTACAAGATAATCGAAGAAAAAAGACAAACATTCGTCTGTATGCGACCTGCAGCGTCACCAACATAAAATGATGTCTCCCGATTGATTAAAATACCGCCATTTCCATGATTTTCAAAGTAATTCCACATACCAATGTATGGCTTACGGTACCGTAGTGTTCCCAAAGAAACAAATACCTCAACAAAATATGTTAAATTATATTTTTGCACTATATCGACATCAGCATTGAGAAGTATGATGATTTACCTACGGTATAAAGTCCCTGGCATTATTGGAAATAACAAGAGTTACTGGAAATAACAGGCATAATGTTTTCTCTCATTTTAATTCACTAGAACTGACGATTCTTCCACATCAATATTTAAGACCTAATGCATAAGGAACAAATATTCTGCAAGCGACCCATCAAAAACCGTCAGAACTAATAAGTAAAGCACAATGAGAAACCATATTATGTTAACAAGATCAACGAAACTGCAAAATTGGTGATAATTCTAAGTTCCTATTCATAATTTTTCATTCTATCTCTTCCTTTTTCATGTCTGCGGAATGAAGTACCAAAAAAAAATTCGAACGCAATGGTGGAAAACAAAAGATGTAATGTCTTCATGGCTAACTAGGGATAGAAGATGAAAACAGAAGTTCAAATTCGCTAAAGAAATATTGTAAAAAGAACAGCTTAGTTCTTTAACGGCAGGGCCTGTGTGTTCTATTACGGTAATGCCTAGGCCAATCTGTTTTACATCTATAAATCAGTTTTCTCTGACTCTCACAATTATAGCACATAATAAAGACATTGAATTAGGCTATTCTAACACCAAAATTGGATATCCTGTGTTGAAAAGTCAACAAAAATAATTTCGCTTTCTGAAAAAGTAATGGAGCAGTGAAATTTGGTTTTTATATACCATCAAAATAGTTTAAAAAGGTACCTGTATGGGAAGCTTGATTTGCTGACAAACTTTTTCCACTTTTCTGCAGAAGGCATCACGATATTGAGAGTTTCTCTATAACGAAGCACCATCAATTATGTTATCTTTGCTACGTAGGAGTTTCTAGTGGTATCATCTTGATAAAACCGAAAATTTTAACCGTATATGTTCCGTTTTATACGTGAAGAAACAAAAAAACAAAACTGAAGATGAATCACTTACTTGTATGCCTCGTTGATTTGTAAAAATCACCACTTTGAAATTTTTTCCAGCAATGTCGGCCAATACTTGTGGTATAGATTCGCAGAAAAACTGCCAGTCATGTTCATTTTCAGGAAATACTTTCCCTGATTTCGTTACTACCACAGTACCATCTTAAACAAAATTACATCAGCTAAAGAGATCCGATTACGCTTTGAAAACTTTGCCATAACAAGAAGCAAAGTGTGAAACATTAGTTGTCTTACATAAACATAATTTTTTAAAACAAAATCCTGTATTTCAGGTCATATAAATGTTAGGCCTCCTCGACCTAGTAAATTAAATGTTTCAAATCTAATCGTTCCTAGCACTTCTTTTTCCAAAACCATTATATTTTTTATGCAGAAAGTTAGAGAGATGAAATACAAGTGAATCTATTACGATAAAAAGAGAAATATTAGGATGGGAGACATGGATGACTGACTGCATTATATCATTGGAAACAAGGTGCGTTATAAAGTCTTCCTCTCACGATACTTACACACTTTGGATTAGCAAATTAGGTATTATGAATGAAGAATAGTAACCAACCAAAATCAAAAGCTGCTATATCTGCACAATGATTAATGTTACCGAAATCAAAGACCATAAGATCATTGCCAACGCTATGCCACCGAGCGTATACCTCATTCTCGCCATCATGTTGGGCTAAAATTCAAAATACAACACCACAGCTGGCAAAATTGTGATAGTCTGCATTACTTAAAAAAGAAAAACTGCACAATATCAACACCAACAACATCAATAAAGTTCATTTTCCATTAAGCAATAGTTGCAAACCTTTTTTGTTGTCAGTTAACCAGTCATGCATAGTTGTATAGGCTCGTTTGGTCATCATTAATGCCTAGTGCTTCACAAAAAACCTGTTTCTAGAAATCGCTCACGCCCCAAATCCAGACTCAGGAACCTTGACTTGATTGTCGACAAGAACGAAATCGAAGAACCTTAACAATGTATGCTGGTCGGCCATGAAATACCCCATCTCATAGCACTATGCAATCGATAGAGACGGAGGCGTGGGTGTCTGTTTGCGTAAGAAGGTATTTGTGATATGGTTTAATGCTAACGGTAAAGCAGTACTGTCAATCAGTGGATGGTGGAACAGCAATCTCTTTTCTGTCAATTTGACTTCCTCTATGTAGAATTTAGTAATTACGACTCTGAACATATAACAAGGTAAACTTTATTAATGGCGGAAAGATTTAATATTCCAATAATCTAAAATTGCAACACCATCGCTGCTTTGACTGTTTAAAACAAAAACCATTAGATAATTTCTCTTGTTCTGAGAAAGTACCTGTTTTGTTGAAAACGGTGAAAAAGTTTTTTTCCATCTACAGTAATTTAATGTTGTTCATAAATGATGAGGGACCGTCCTGAGAATCATTGTGGGCTTGGATAAAAACAATCCAATTCAACCGGAACATGCCATACGAGGTCTCCTACATCAGAACACTAACGGAGAAACTGTCATCATTCATGATATTATAAGCTTTCTTGCGACAAATTACGACTTCATAGACCTGAGAAAAGGAAGAAACTTAGCTCTGACTATCCTAGCAGATTGAATCTTTTAAACTATGAGTCTATTACATGCGGGTCTATGAGGGTATGAAGGTCTATTCCATTCCTGTACTGTCATCATTCTCTGTGAACAATCCATTTTTTTTTCCCATAAATAGGAGTGTCAATATTTACAATCAAAATAGACTATCAAACAAACTCAATTTTATTTACATTTTTAAATGAAAAGAATAATTTTGTGCAGTTTGCACAATAACGATATGTTTTATCTTATGTTATATGTTCTATCAAAGCTTTTGTCTTGTTTATCAAAAGCATACAGTTATGGATTTGAAAATTGGCTCTTTTTGCCAAAGACTAGAGGTATGTAAACTTATCGGCCAGTTATGATACAAAATTGTTCTTTCCAACGACTTGCTTTTTTAGCTTATTTGAAGCTTGCAGTAAATATGTGCAAGCATTTTACATCACAACGATATGGATTTTCGAATTTTATGGAAAAATATAGTTTGCGATATTCAAAATAACGGCTCAGTCACATATGACAATCAAAAATTCAGATCTAGTAACAGTCAAGGATGGCTGAAATTGGGAACAAAAAGGAAGGGTACGCGTGATAAGCTTATTATTATGAACTGTACCTTCAACACTTTAATTCTAACTCTTCAAATTGATTGCATAGTTCTCTATTCATTTCAATTAAGAATCTGCTTGATGAACTTTCGCTGCAAGGTCATGCTGCTCCTTTTCACTTCGATGACTAGTGTATCTATCAAAAGTCTCAAAGCTATTTAAATTTAGCATTCACTTTGCAGACCAACTCCTATAATTTCCGCTAATTTCAGGGCGTCGACAGCAACAATCAGCCAACTTCCATCTTTACCGCCCCTTTTACATCTCTTTCGATCTTTTACGAAAGTTTGCTGAAAATCTACTTCCAGTTTAAGTACTGGCAATGCAGCGTTGGCCTTGGTTTAGTTTTCTCCAATACTACGTTTACTTCATATTTGACTCGGATTACCAAATCTGTAAGTGTTGTAGAGAATTTGATATTCAGCACTAAAAAACTCTAATTCCACATTTTTACACTGAAGATCATTTTCAAAAAGAATTTAGAAAGACTTTAAAGACAGCAGATGTTTGCAGAGAAGATTAGATATTTCATAGTTTTTTAAGGGTAGAAATAGGTCGATGGAAACTTCTCGAGGTTCTGAAACATTTTCTAAAGTGATTCGATCACCTGCTATTAAACTTCGTCTCCTTTTTTTCAGTTTGCTATTGTTAAGTTCAAAAAAAGCATTTGTTTTCAAATTTAAAAAATTTCTGTAATAGGCCAAAATAAAATATTCATGAGAGATGATTTGAAAATGCGGTAGTATGCAAGAATTGAGACAAAGTAAGCTTTTGAAAGATTATAGATAAAGTATTGTTAACCTTGTAAAGTCTTTGGAAATCAGTTCAGAAAGGTTGAAATGTGTGACGAGAAGCTAATGCTGACAAAGAATCTTCATTCATTGTTTTTGTTTCTTCATTCCATTCATTTCTACTTCAAACATTTTCTGTATGCTTCTATTTTTTTGTGATACTTACATCAAATATTCAGAAAATTCTCAGAATGCGTCCTTTAAAAATGTCAAAATCAGGTAGCTAACATTTCTCACTTGAAGTTAGAAAATATGGTTATCATAAGAAAGGAAAATATCATGCAAAATTTTAAATTTTTAGTTTCCCAAAGAATAAATTTAATAACATGAATGATATTGAGGGATAATTTTCCATAACGTCGTAGTCCTTGAATATTTTTTTCACGTCGAATTTTTGCAAGTAAGCAAATCTAATTACAAAAAAACAACATAGAGAGTGTCACCTCGACCTTTCTATAAACTTTTGCACTCTTCAAATTTTGTCCTCAATTTATAGCCTCCATTTGAATCTATAATATCACAAATAATATTACAAATATTACAAATACACTACTTCGCATATTTTATACTGATATATTTTGCAGGCTGTCCATATATAACAATTCGTTTGAGATTATTGAGATGATCTGTTTAGCAACCTTGCAAAATGCAGTAGTCTTCACTTCGATGCTTGTTTCGCCTTTTATCACTGCTAGGCCACTGCTGGCCTAGCACTTTTAAAATAGTTGCGTAGCTAGAATATCTGTGCAAGAGAGACATGAGTAAAAAAATATTAAATATAGGGTGCATTTAGTAACAGTGATTGTTGGAAGAATTTAGAAGCAGATTTTGATATTTTCTGACTAAATCAAAATTTTTCATCACATATTTTCCCGACAAAACATACTTGTACGGGAATTTCTTTTTTCCTTCGATGTATTGTTTTGCTACTTAAATAGGATGGGATTATTTCGTTTACTGTTAATTTTCAGATTAAAGTTACATTTTGTTAACCTCTGTTCTTTTGAACACTGAAATTCCTAAAAAAATTTCTAAGTTTTTATGTAGAGTTTTAGATAAATCTCTATATAAGGGATTTGAAAAATTGCTGCTTTTTTTTCGATAATCTGGCCGAACTAACATATTTTGATGGAAAGAAAAACTTAAAGGATTTCATGAGGTATTATTATGCCAATTGTGAATCAAATAATTCTAGCACAACTGGAATTTTTATTCCATAATGCGAATTCTTCGAATCTTCTACTGCTATAATTCTCTTGAAATTATCTCATACTCATGAAACCTAAAATTTTTCTGAAATCGACCAAATATTAATTTAATAGGCGTTGTTTTTACCTCATTACAAGTTGCAAAGTGTTCCTTCAGTGTCCATAGTATCTATGGATTCGTTACTGTAAATCTCAATTAATAGTGAATTTCAGCACTGTTTATTCATCGGAACTATTAATATCGCTAGCTAATTCAGTATTTTCCAGAACTTCAAAACCAGTTAGATACAATTGTATTGAGGAGTCTTATGGTTGCGGCATTGCTCCGATAGGCAATCACAGTGGCTATGGATCGAAAACAAATAGCTGTCAACATTATCACTTATATCTGTGTTTTTATAGTGTGTAACTATTCCTCATCTTAATCTGTGACACAAGTTTTTATTTTAACATTTTCTTATTCATGATTTTTTAATATGTTTAAGTGTACAGGATCTTTTGAAAGCTGTTTCATGTAAGAGCTGGAGCATTGTGACACCATATTGCGTATTAATGATCTCTTTTCTTTTTTTTTTCTCCTTATCAACTCTTTTCTTCTTCTAAATTTGGTAGAGAAATTCTGAAAGTGCTACATTTTCAGGTATATCGAGTATCCGGTAATACAATCGATAATGGAGTAAAGGGTTAATTTGTTTTCACGTTCTTATCGATAGATGGAAAGCACTGAAATAAAGTGGCTAGAAATACTAAAACTTAGACATAGACTAGTTAACAAACAATATTTCCAGAAGCTTTTGTATTCAAAAAAGATTCAAGTCTGAAACCATTCCATTATTAAACTTTTTTCCGAATGAATTGATACAGTTAATTGCAGGTGAGCCGATATTAGTATGTGCGGCAGATAGTGTGTCTATCACTTTTGTGACAGAAAAAGAATTTGAAGGACATGTTTATGTGAAAGGCCACTATGATAACAGTTTATGCCGAACAGATGCCACTCTCAAGAAGAGTGTCAATTTTACTGTACCGTTCTCCCTTTGTGATGTACGAAGACAACGTTCGGTTTGTTACCCTATTCTCAAACTCGAGATTTCAAAACATTCTTGCAGATTGAGCATTCCATATAGCAACGAAAAATCTCGTAATAGCTTAAAAAGAAAAAAAAAATCTAAGAATTTTATAAGCTCAGTTAGTTGTATGGTAGTTGACATTCCTTTCAGTTTATATACATGCATTTTCAGAGTAATCCACGAGGTCTGTATGTGTGCATGACTATCATCATTACATTTCATCCGGTATTTTTTTTGTTTAAAACTTAGAAGCTCTAAAAAGCAGCTGATATGTTTAATGAAAAATGAAAAATGTTGATTTTTCTTTTTATTGCAGATGTTTATCACCAAAATTGATAAATCATACCGTGTGAAATGTTTTTACATGGAAACAGATCGTACTGTTACAACACGTCTTGATGTTAGGTTACTTTATGAATCCTTCTTTTTCCTTTGAAAATAGGACAGAAAAGGTTTTGAATAACTGAACAGAACTAAATTAGAAAAAAAGAAATATGTTGGACTTCAGCATCAACATTCTTTAGTTTGAACAGTGAACAGCAAAGGAAGATTGTTGTAGTGATCGGTGGCGATAAGCATCAGGTGAAAACGCTCACCAATCGTAGCGGTGCAATGGATGACTATGAGTAAGTTACAGTTATTTCTGTTGAAATAAATTTTGGAAGTATAACTAATAATATTTGGCATTTTTAAGTAACGAAGAGCTTAATCATGAAAAATTCTTGAAAGTTTGAAGTAGGAAGGATTAGTTTAGGTTGCTACAATCATAGTTCATCCTTTTTCTTGGGGAATCAGAACAACTAGTATTCTCCCACCTCGAGGTGCTTCGATTACATTAGTTAAATTTTACTCATTTGAACAACTCTAAGCTTTTATAGTAATTGAAATTTTGTATAAGTGTTATTGCTATTACTGCAAAAATTATCAGAAGTGATACATTTTCAAACGGAGTGATCACACATCAAATAGCTCTTCCAACTTGTCGGTATCAAGTTCTTATGGATGGACCACATGGTTCCCCTGTGAAATATACTACCGTTGGAGAGCAAGTTTATCATCAATGGTCGTGTGCGGATGAAGATGGAACAGTTCCAGGTCAGGCCGTTTTATAATCTAAATTGATTTGTATACTGAACTAACTTTGCATGCTTTTATTTCTATCATACCAAATATTTTTTGAAGGAACTTTTAAATTAAAAAAATCATGAGATGATTAGGAAAATCCTTGATTTAATTTGCATCTATTTAAAATTATCATTTTTTGGTTATTTCAGAAACAAATTTGTACTGCACAACCGTTCATTCATGTGTCGCTAAGGAAGAAAATGGAAAAGAGGTTCAGTTGTTGGATGAAAATGGCTGTGCTGTTGACAAATATTTGTTGAACAATTTGGTTTATACTTCTGATTTGACCGGTGGACAACTGTCCCAGGTAATAAGAATTTATTTTGGTGTCGTCAGTTCCAGAAACTTATCGTTACAATTCCAGAAATTTATCGCAGCGGAAGAAAAAGAGAGATAGAATATATATATATAATTTTTGAGGAAATGAGCTATTGAAATCTAAACTTAATTATGTCTTCAGTAATCTTTCATTTAATCTCTGTCAATTCGTTAAAATTTTTTGCCGTCGTTTTTGTGCTACTTTTTTCCTATGTCAATTATCATGATTCTTTTTCAGGTATTTAAATTCGCAGATCAATCATCGCTATACTTTCATTGTCAAATACGCCTCTCATTGAGGCGTGGAAGTTGTAAGGTCTCTTCCATGCTTATTTTTTCATAAAATCAAATTTTCAAAAATTGAAATTTTGAAAAGTACTTCTTTTTTATCCATCATTTATCAATAAAAGTACTTCTTTTTATTCATCATTTATCAGTACTTCTTTTTTTTTTTTATTCATCATTTATCAAATCTAATATATGAAAAATTATTGCAGAGAACAAGTGACAGTTGTTCAGTTGGACCGACACGGAGTAAGAGGGAACTTTCCATTTCTTCACAATACAGCGACACAGACGAAACAGTGGCTGATGTGTTTTCGCAGTTAATGACGGTGTTTGATATCGATGATCCAATAGGTGCTTCATAGTTCTTTTCCCAAATGTTTCGTTCATATAAACAAACGTTAAGACGTATACTCTGATTGTCCTTTTTAATTTGCATAGAGTTAACCAAGAATTGCAATTCCAAAATTACGATTACTTTATCTTACTAATGTGTAATCCTAGAAATTTTAGCCAAGTCTGTTAATAAGTTATGGTTGCAGATACTGATTCATTGCAACGATTTGAAGCAAAAGAACTGAAACATACAACTATTTGTTTGACACCGGTGTCGTTCAGCTTCCTGTTGACGATCTTCACCGCAGAATTCCTCATTTCAACCTTATCAGTTATTATCCTATATCGAAAAACCTGCTATAAACAGGAATACTGTATAGAATGATAAGAAAATCCGAACAATTAACGATTGACCGTATTCCTGCAGTATGTTTCCACTCATTTATATCCATTATTTCATTCCTTTTTTAAAGCTACTGTGATCTTCAGATGTTCAGGTTGTTCTTTTTTCGTCTTCTTTTATTTCACATAGTTTAATAAATAACAATAAGGGAAAAATGATAAGGCAAATTACCTCGTTAACCCTTGAACTTTGTTCGGGAGAGAAAATACATCAGTTGAAACCGCTGGCCTACGGCGCAATTGATACGGGGCCATAATAAAAGTAGAAAGGCCCTAAATAATCCTTATTTACTTAATTATGAATAAAATTATGTGTAAAATTACGCTGACATGGCAGTGATACTGAAAATGTCTGTGATAAATTACTGGTAGTGTATGTTATTTGGTTGCGAGGCAAACAAAATTCACACTACGTCGCCGTTCTCGTTGCACTTGGATAGCAAAAAATCTCATTTGTTATTTTGTGATTTAAGTATTATAATTTGACAACTGGTGGGAAAACATACTGAATATTTTTACCATCTCCGTTTTCACATTGGAAGGTCTGAACCCATCATCTTACCTTTGAGCTCTTCTGCACTCCAAGAAAAAATTACTTTGTCGGTCCTTTTTTAATTGAAGTGAATCATAAAAAGCTGCGTTGAAATAGACTGTACTAAGTGAAATATAATTATTACTGTCAAAAACCGGTTGAGATTTCCAGCACTGTTATGAAATTTTGATTCAAGATAAATACCAGAAAAGCCTTGCATAGTTTTTATATACATTAGGAATAAAAAAATTCTTACCATTTCATGTTTATTTGTACCTTTGTTTATTAACAAATGATATTTCAGGCTTTATTGCCTGATTAATACAGAAATCAAATTTTCAAGAAAGAATTATCTGGAATGCTTAAGAAAAACGTTTATTTACTATATTTACAGGAAACCGTCGGTAACATGTCGTTTAACAAAAAACCTCAAAGAAATATAAATGCATTAACCCGACCATCATTTGAAGGAAAAATTGGGATAGCTCTTTAAAATGAAAATATCTAAATAAAATATATTGAAATAAAATAGAAATATCTAAATAAAAAATATTGAAATATAACAGTAATAGAATGATAATAACTGCTGAATTAAAAGATTAAAGGTCAAATTAAAATAAAGGTGGCCTGAGCAATAATTTTAATTAGTCCTGCTAAGTTTTATTTAACTTAACCGCATGAAAGACCATAGCGAAGAGATGCAAATGCACAATGAACTCGGAGATATGAAATTTACAAAAGTAGCTCAATGAGTAGTGACGGCATTCCAATTTCATGATTTCACAATTGTTATTTACTAATCTCTCTTAACGCTGTTTCCATCTCGCTCTGCAACGAAGGCAATTCAATTACTTATGAATTTCAATTGTTTAACCATTCTTATACATGTCATAAATAGTTGATTTAAAATCCAGTCTCGGTCCTTTCATTTATTTACAAAAATGTATTGCGCGAAGTTCAGCATCCTTCGAAATTTAAACTAAAAATTGAAAAGGAAGTGTTACTTGTAAGAGTTTAAGATCTTTGACAGCATCCAAACGTGTTAATTTTTCGGCTGCATTATTCAGCTGTTCCATAATATCGCTTATCTCCTCATTACCCTTTGATTCACTAAATATATATGTACATATATACTCAACATGAACGAAATTCAAAATTTTTGCACCTAATTTCCAGCTCCATCGTTTTTCTCATTGGCTATCCATCATTTTTTTTCCTTTGTCATAAAACGAAGGTGAAATTCAATGGGTGAAAATAATTGAGGAAAGTCAGATAGAAGAGATGATGGAGAGTTTCAACCAATACTTCAACAAAAACAAGAGTACTCTGTACCTCCTCCCTTTCACTTGGCTCTCATGAACCTAAAATTCTCTGGTAATTGTGATAAAGCCAATTTGAAAACTTTGATCAGGAATATATCATTTTTTGTCTAGTTAGAACGAAGAAAGACTCCACTGTTTGTTAAAACATCTTTCAAAATAATATCGTAAACTCTCAACCTTTCATCATCTTCCGTTAAACTATTCGATTTGATTCTATTAATGTACTTCAGGTCAGCAAGATTAGACTAAGTGTGAAAAAATAAGCATAAATAATGACCAATATTGAAATCAAAAACTGCAGAAAACATTTTGACCTGATTTCGACGGTTGTTGATAATTTCTGCATTTCGTACTTTTTTTTCCACACTTTTATTTCTGCTGCATATTCTAATATTTTCCTATAAAAAAAAATATTAAAATACGGTAATGTCCTAGTTATCACAACTAATATCTGTTCATTAGCCAAATTGACAGGTTAGTTTGAAAATGCTTCAAATTTTTTGGAAGTATTACAAATTACTGCACATTAATGAAGAAGCGTGGCACAAAGTTTTGAAATGCTGGAATGATTCATAGAAAATTACATTCAAAAATGAACTGACCTTCTGCATTCCCTTTCTGAACGTTCTTTTTCTCTAAGTTTTAAAGTCAATTGTTTCACTTCTTCCTCCAACGACTGAAATGTTCATTTTTTTTTTAACATTTTCAACATTTCCACAAAAAACGACAAATGATAATTATTAAAATATTACTAAAATTGCTTTATTTGTCAGTCTTAATATTATTAATTTTTTGCTAAATTTGAAGACGCCTTTGAAAATTTGAAATTGAATTAGTTAAATCAGTACACTTAACTAAATCGGTGGAAAATTAGCATCTCTAAATTTTATAAATGAGATGAATTCATTTGATTTGGAATTATAAATTAAAAAGTTATTTACTTTATTTTTGTCTATTAAAGCGATCATTTCTGCAGAATCCTCCGGAGCTTTTGATATTTCATCTGAAAGGCATACTGCTTGATAACTTCTTGTAACCATTTGTGTATTTGAAAAAATTATGATTCTTGGAATGCCGGAATTCTTTTTTCCGATGCAAACAAAATTGGAAAGACAAGAAACATGGCAAACTTAAATGTCAACAAGTAAACTCAGAAACTTCTCAAATTTTTGAAACTAATAACAAACTCTTATATTACAATAGCAGCCACGACATTTTAGATATATGGACATTTCTAATCCAGAAAATTTTCAGATATAGAAAGAAAACCGCATATTGATTATTAAAAATATTAAAAGGAGTGTTGTAAAACAAATTTCTAATGCACAGACTTTTTATTTCCGGAACAGCAGCTACATTTACTGGTTGTTCGCAGCATTGCAATCCAGTATCATTTTCAGCGTGGTTGGAGCTCAGCGTATTGATCTGAAACACAAGTTTCTGTTATTAAAAATTAAAAAAAGATTTGAACTAGTATTTTGGTCAAAATGCTACTCAGCAATTTCATGTCACATTCAAGTAAAAATCTTGTAGAATAAATTTCAGCTACGGCAAATTCTCTAAAAATGTTGAAAAAATTATCTGCAGATTATTTGCGACGTGAAAGAGAATTCAAAATGCTCAATATTCTAAACTATTAAATTTATAGAACAAGCTCATTTTTTAAAATGAAATTAAATACATTATAATTTAACAAAAACTTCAGTAATAGTTTTGAAATATCAAAAACCTTTGCAGGAGTTTGTATTGTACTAATCCCTGTGTTTCGTAAAATTTTCGGTAAAATAATTTTTTCTATTTTTGCTTGATGATTTTGCTTACGATCCCATTTCTGAAATGAAAATAGCCTTATGTCTTCGAAATCAAACATCTCTGTGAAATATAACAATATAATAAAATTAAAATCAATTGAATTTAATAAACATAAGAATTTTCTATGGAATCAACCATTCATGAAACTGAATAAATAATAAAATTTTTATGACTGACAATTGCGCTTGAATAAGATTTGGAGATATTGGAAGATGACGTGAAGTATTGCCGATTATGATAAGTTGTGCTGCGCTTTGGACTATATATCGAAGATGCCGTGAAAGAACGTTGAAGAGTGTGACTGGTTTCCGTGAATTGCTGTAATGATCCTACGCACAAACTGTTACCACGCGCATTATATGATAAGGTTCTGAATGAAAAGTACAGTGATAATATCTATGTCCTTCTGATATTCCCTAATTCTTATTTTTCTTAATTCTAGTAATATTACAAGTTCCTAAAAGATATAAAGAATTGTATCTGTAAATTGTATTATCTGATAACCTATATTTCAAAGTTTTTCTTGGTTTCATTAATAAAGCTACGATTTTTGAGTCAAAGTTCGTCAAACTTAATAACACACAATACACTTCATCGTATGTTTTATTTATGATGCTTAACTGAAAGCTTAAATTGCTGCTAGTTAGATCAAGAAAACAGGAAAGAAACGTAAGCAGAAGTTTTGATTTTTAAATTTAAGGAACTCTTTCTACCTTTGTAAGGAGGGAATCCGTCCATTACGAGCTCCATATGCATAAAATGTCCTTAATGTTAACAAAGAACTATTCGGCATTCGAGAATTAATACCTGCTTTCCTGAAAATTTTATAGCCTATCATCTTCTTAACTAAAAGTAAAATATTATCGAAAAATTTTCGTTTGGTTCAAATTAAGGTTTTTGATATCTTAGTATGTTTTATTTTACGCTAATAATTTAATATTTGAGTATAGTTATAGATTTAGTACATTGCACCTTGTCGAACGCATAATGAATATAGATATGCTAAATAGAAGTTCAACAGAGATGAATGGTCACTCAGCCAGCCATTCAATTATTTATTGCACTTGATAGTGACGTTTAATGGAACAGTTTTTATTAGGAATAATAATCATTCGAAATATCGAATTTTTTCAGCTTTTGAAAAGTGCAACAGAAGTGCTCAAAATCCGTCGAAAACGTGTAAGATGCTATTATAGTTGATAAGAAAATAAAACTTAAACTTGATATTTCAAGTTGAATTTGAATAAAAAACTGTACCTGGAAGTGAAATGTAAAGATGAGGGCAGCATTTCCTATTATAAGCTTAGTCGTGGTATTCAGCAAAAATAAGACTGGTACTGAAGTAAAATGACTAAAATCGGTTAACTGTTGAATACTGATTTTGGCAAAGCGGAACACTTGGGATGCTTTCATCAGTGCTCCCTAGTATAAAGTGTCTCATGAGGAGAGAAATAAATTTTTCAGTGCGTTTAAAGCTAGAATTGATTTTTTCCTTCAATTTAAAATCACATTAAATGATAGATCAAATCAGATGAAACCCTGCAATGAATTGGTCGATAATTTTTTGTTAATTTGCATAATTTAGTCAACGATGATCGAATTGTGAAAAATAATTTCTGTCATAAATTCTATTCTTAAGCTTCTTTAAAAAACAATTAACCCTAGAATAATTTAGTTAGATCGTAGTAAGCAAACATAAGTTTGAATTTTAGAGCCAATGAAGTGATAATATGTAACGAAAATATTTTGTTGTAACAAAATGAAACTGAAAATGATTGAACTGTAGAAAAGAAAAGAAATGGATTATAAGTTGAACCGAAGGGGAGAAAAATTTGACAAAAGCAATGGTCGTACTCTACAAACACATACATATCTGCTGCAGTGGTTGAATTGAGCAATCATTAAGATCGCTGAAAGACAGCGGTATTTGTGGTATTTATCGGCTGTGTTCATCTATCTAATCTATCTATCCTGACGTGTCTAGCACGATGGTGCAGTTGCTCCTACTACCAAATGCTGTAAATATTCAGCTGCTTTATGTAAATAACTGTGACTGAAGAATGTGTCAGCAAGTTCAGCAAAAGCAATCAATCATTTGTAATTATTTATTAATAAAGTATGAATCTAACCTACTAATAAAGTTGGTTTAAAAACTGGCATACTTTAAAATATGTTCAACAAAGAGTAGGAGAGGAGATTGTTTGCATTGTCGCAAGAAGTACTTTCAGCTAAATATATTTTATTAATTGCATTTGTTAGTTCAGTGCTATCTGCTTGTTTGCTTATTGCGATTGGCCAGTTATTTTCATCTCATACAAATTCTCCAAATTGTTGATATTTATTATTCAAAAGATACATACAGCAGCGAGTCAGATGAACAACAAGAACGTTGGTCACTATTTATTAATTATGTTTTATGATTTCTTTTCTTTACAATTCGAAGTTTACAATAACGAAAATTTGCGCCATATCCAAAATGTATTTTAATATCAGTTAGAACGGATCAATTGAATTTAAAATGAATTAAAGAAGGGAATATATTACAGTATGTTAGTAACATTCGTATTTTATGTGGAATGTGTTCTCAACCAGTCATTCCTCTCAAATCGAATCGCATTCAATTCTGACTTCCTTCAAAAATTAATATTTAAATTTTTAAAACAGATGAAATATTCATGATTGAACACTTCATTGACAAAAAAACTGTAAACATTCAAAAGCATATTCTCTTTTATAAAATTCATTAAAACTGTTAACGAGTATTCATTACATTGTGTTGAAGAGGATGAATAATGATTTACCTACAAAGCTTTCCTAATAATATCGTGGAATTCAGAAATAGTCTTGGTCAGTTTCTTGATCACTACATTCATCTCCTTTTAATGTATTCATGAAGAGCTATATGAATGACTGGTTATTTAAAGTAATATCTATGCTACAAATAAAAAATTCGAAGGTTGTTAAATATTTTCCAACTTATAAAAAAAATTGTTGCAGTTTTTCAAAATAAAAATTTCTCCGGATATCTTCTTCCCCTATTCTTTTGTGGGATTAAGAAATTTCTCCGGACATCTTTCCCTATTTCTTTTATGACATCAGGAAATGTGCCTGATAATGCAGACAGCTTCAATAACTTCTCAGTCTTTCGTATCGCTATTCTTCTACAATTTGATAAACGATACAGCGACGAGCAACAATTTGAATTTGGTTATTTTTGTTTATTATTAATGGTCTATTAGTTTATGGCTTAATCAGTTAATTTTCTTTCCTTTCTTTCCCTTCTCTCTCTCTCTCTCTCTCTCTCTATCTTTTATCATCATCATCATCTTCCTTTCTAGGAAATAATTTCTGATTTTTATATCTGAAATCATCTAATCCTCTAATCCTCTTCTTTTTTTTAATAATGATATTGTTTTAGTTTTCCTTTTCTCGTATCATTATTAGACATTAGGTCTTCTTTACCTTATGAATTTATTAGTCTTAACAACATTATTTCTCTTTTTTTTTCTCTCACCTATGATTATTTACATTTCAATATTTCTCTTACCTATAATTACATTTCATAAATCAATCATTTTTTCTTGTTTGGAAAAATTGAAAATCGTCAAGATTCTTTTTTAAATTAATCATTATATATATATATATGCATTAGGAATAGATAGATAAATAAGTAAGTAAAAAAAAACTTGTATCCATTTGTAATTTTTTTGATTAAACAGCAATTTTATTTTCTACGATTTCTTTTTTCTTTTTTGTTTTTAATATTTAGGAATAATGTAATCGATCTTGTGATGATGATGATGATGATGATGATAGAATGTCTGAAGAAAAACAGATATCGCAAAATTGAGTATTATTGTAGGAATAAAAATTGGTTCTTTTTTATTTTCAACGGACAACAGCGCAAAAATGCCTTTAGGCTTAAAATACAAGCTTATATTATGAATTTTATTTTCATTTATAATTTAATTCCCCTCCCCCCCCCACCTATCCAAAAAAAAGAAATTTCCATTTTCCTTTAAAGCTATTAAAAAATGACATTGCATAATCAAAAACGAAATAGAATGTCGAAAGGCTAATTATCAACCAAATAAAATTGAACGTTTCCTAACATTTTTCAACAAATTAGAATTTGTAAAATAGAAATATTCAACAAATTTTCACATATAAAAGTTTTTTACATAATTTTAGGAAAATAAAATTTTCATCGAATAATTCATTTTTTTTTTTTAAATAATTTATTTGTTTAAAATTTGAGTAGTAAAAGGAAAAAAAAATACGATGAAATTTAATCATTTCAAAGATCGAAACAATCGTATTCATCCATTAATAATATTGTTTGCATTTTATTTAAACTTTTACTATTACTACAATTTTTAACAATTAAGTATTAAATTATTAATTTGAGATTTCTTTTTCCGAACATTTTTTGGTGCAGAAAAAAAACCGATATTGTTTTATGAGTTGTAATTAATTTTTAAAACAATTTTTTTTCAATTGCCAAAATTAACCTATTCCTTTTCAATTATCAAAATTAACCATATTTCAATTTGTATAATAATTAACATCGAATTGTTAAAATGCATTTATTGGTTACTATAATGAAAAAGTAGATATTTCATTATATAATTTGTGGTTTTTCTTTGTGTCCGAATAAAAATATTATCCAATTTTGATTGGTGAAAATATGGAAGAAATATTTATTTTCATTGAACTAATATGAAATCTTATCGGATCACTTTTTGAAATTTGATATTAAATGCTCCTAGTTTTATCATATCATATTTTGTGCAAGCAGTTGTTACAACATTAGCATAGCATGTCGATCCAAGGCCTAATAGTAGAATTCACTTTGTTTTAGCAATAGGCCTTGCTTTCTACGGCAACACAAAATTTCTTAAATTTTTTTTAAAATTATCTTTCACACAAATTTAAGAAAAAAATCATACATACGTAATGCTTGTTTTTTTCTTGCACTTTCTTTATAATCTAATTTTTCCATGAATAGATCTTATTGGTAATAAGTAACTTAATTTTAAATAACATTATCGTGAAATGTTGAACGAACGATGATATCATAAATTAAATTTAAAAAATTTGATTATTAGTAATGCTTTATATCGTTTCAATTTAGTTGTAATAAGGAAATGTTAAGTAAGATATATGTGAATTATTTTTTGAATGATAACTAGAAATATCATTCCGATAACATCAATATACTAAGCGATAAGATATATTGAAACTTTCATATGTGAGTGATATTTTTATAGCTATACCTATGGTTAGCGGAATTCATTTAATGCGTAATTGAGACTTCTGTTTTTCATAAAGTAAAGCTATAATTTCTTCAAAATTAAATCTTAATCAAAAAAGACATAAGAATAGATCTTATAAATATTTAAAAAGTAATCCGAGTGATTTAAACAAAATCGATATTGTACTTTATAAAAATTTGTAGTACAACAACACTTTAAGAGCATTAATTGATGGATTTCAATTGGATGATACATAATAAAGTAACAAATAAAATGAAAGTTCATTTTCTTTTGAAAAGAAGAAGTGGGAAAATTAGTGCTTTAAAAATTTAATTTTAGCAAATACTTTTTCAATTGTTTGTGTTGAAGCAATCGTGCAGCTATGCGTCCACCATGTGTTTTTTTCAATTTAAACGTATTCTCTGATTCGTTTATTTTTCATTTTTGGGCATAAATATTCTTTTCTTAACTGATATTATCCACTTTAAAGATTTAAACTATCCTTTGATACATCGAATATATATACATATATATATAT